TCAATGTACCTGATTGCTAAACCATTACTCCATGGTCTTCCATCTGCTTTTCAAGTTTCCTGCCAAGTACATGCAAGACTGCTGCTTGTGAGAGCATCAGGATGCCATCCTCTGTTTAGCAGCATCAAACCTTGGAATGCTGCTGGCAAGCAGAGGTAAGACATCAGTAGTTTTTTGCTCAGAATTCAACGCACAATCATCATCAGGTATTGATGGACTAAGGATATGGGATTTTCTCTTCAGCTACCCCAACCTCTGCAAATCCGAAGTCCCAATGACCCCATCACAGCCATTGCTTGGCTCGCACCAAACAACAGAATTCAGGAATGCCTGTGCTGTGGGACAGCACTCAGTTATTTGGCTGTCTGGAGGCAGTGGCCAAACATTGTGGTGGAGTTCGAGCAAGTGGTTTGCAGGAGGATTAGTGAAGGCTGTGAAATCATGGCCATCACTTTGGATGCAGGCAATGGCACAGGAAATCATATCATTGTAGCAACACATGATGGGCATGTTCAGGCATGGACACTAGATCCATGAACTGCTTCTCAGGCATGTTTAGCATCCAGTTAACAACATCAATTCCCTGTGCTGTATATGTCCAAGGCTGTGATGTCATTGCCTTTGGGATGTACAACAGAGACATGTGAGACCCTGAAACCTACTCACCAACATCCCAATCTAACAAAATATTATTTGTTACCTATAAGACATATTCTGAGAAGTGACAATGGGATGGTCATCAAAACGAAGACAACAGGGATGATGATGTGAGTAACACCCTATGTTTGGGTGAATAAGCTGACTTGAAGTGAATATAGTGGCTCCACATGCATTGATGGGATGGGAGGTCTATTTGTGATTGATAATGCTATCAGCAGATTCAGTCTGCATTGATTAAGTGACAGAAGCTGCATAAGGACATATGATACCAAACCACTAAAGACATACCCAAAGCAAGTAGCATTCACAGAGGATGGTATGCTGATTGTTGGAGGATCTGATAATGGGTTAGTATATGTCTTTGAGAAGAATACTGGAACCTTGAGGCAGCTACTATGCCATTCAAAAATGGCACAGACACAGACAATTTCAGTGAGTGTTCTTGCAAATTCAGTAGAAATTCCACACTCACATATATCAGGTATACCAAGGGGGGGATCATACAGGAATTGTTGCTGCATCCTCCAATAATGGTGTGGATAACACAATAACAATCTGGAAGAAACCAAAGGGGGATTCATCAGCATGGCTGGGGGGAAATAGGTTTTTGGTGTGGGTGCTATTTGGAGCAATGTGTGCCATGTTGCAGTTCCTGACACAACTGCTTACCATGGCCATCACAGTGAAACTTGCCTATGATATTGTGGTTAGCCCCTCCTCATCGGGGACCAACTTATACTGACTGACTAGAGACAGATGGCAGGTGGTCCACTTTGGAAAACAATTTGGCAACCCCCTAGCATGGACGACTTGTTGGTCAAGCAGGGATGCATAAATGGAATATATAGATAGTCAAATCAATAACTAAACCAGCAGCAAAACTTGACTTTGATGTAGCCTGAAGATAGTTTTCCAACTTATTCAAGGTGTTTTTGAGGCTATTTAATAGTAATCTAATCAAAATGCATCATGTGCAAATACAAGTCTTGGTTAAACATTATCATTGCAATGGTATGTGGCATCATAGAAGGGTGCACCAGTTCACAAGGGCCTGTGAAGAGAGTTTCTGTAAATAATGATGCAGATGACACCTTTACAGATCTAACCTGTTACATAGGTTAACAGTAGCCCATATGAACTATCATCGATAGTAATCTTTTTACTATCAATATTGACATAACTCTAATATTATGGGTGTCTACTGCTACACTATCTTTAGTGGTGGACTGCAAGCGAAGACAGTTAATAGATTGCGAAGTACAAAGAGCTGACAAGCAGCTTACCTGTTGGGGGTGGAAAGAGAGAAAAGGTGTTCATGAGAAAGTTGTTGTTGATATACTGAATACAACTCATGGTCATGTGCATGTGTTGTGCAATGTGTGATTTTGCTGTGGCTACCATGTGACCATGAGTTGTGTTCAGTATATCAGTGGTAAGCTTTCTCACAAACACCTTTTCCTTCTTTCCACAGGTAAGTGGCTGATGTTGACTGCTACTATGGACTAACTGTGCCAACAGCAATCAACATGATTATGCCAATGTTCCAAATATCAAATACATAGATAGGAAGATTGTAGATGTGACTGATATATTGTTCCAAAATCCAAGTGTAGACATAGATAAGTAAATGAAGTAGACAAAACAATGAAATTTTGTATGCCACAGCCAACGATTTCAAGGCAACAGAAGAGCTACTCAACAAAGATAAGCATAAGTGCATCCACACTGCTGGCTTAGTTATCAATCTGATTCTTTACTTCTAGGTTGTTGTTTCGTCCTATTGTCCAGGGCAATAGGTTTGCCAGTCTTCGAAAGTGCCCATTTCCTCATATAGCAGAAATTGTCACCTGATTGTTTCAAGGCCTACAGCAACTTGCTCCTATCACCAATGGAACCTGAGATCAATGTGAAACTCATGTCATGATGTCATGTGGAGTGATTTACTGACATACACCAGGTGTATGCGATACCTTTCCCCCTCAGGCTTCATCATCCTGTAAGTAAACTTTTGAATTCAATTTGGTAGACTAATTTATTGGGTATCTCACAGGTGATGTGTCCCACTTCATCCCCTCCCCCCAAGCTTCTTCCTCCTGTAAGTACACTTCCAAATCCTGTTGTGGGGGATGATATATTATGAATTTTTGTAGGTGATCTTCCCCATGATGTCTCCTCCCCTGAATTTTTGTGAGTGATGCACAATTTTGAGATTTCATACACTCTGAAATACAAGTGTAAATAAATGCGAAATTGTGTATGCTGGAGCCCATGGCTTAGAGGCAACAAAAGAGCCATTGATAAAGATAAGATCTATGTACTTCTAGATTATTGTTTCATCCTATTGTCCAGGACAGCAGTTTTGGTATCTTTTCAAAAGTGCCTGTCCCCTCAATGAAATCATTGCCACCCAAGAATGTGTTTTGTAGGTTGCTCTCCACTTTGCATACTAGTAACAAGGCTATTGTTATCTAAATTGTTCTCACTAACACCTCCCTGGCAATGATCTGATGATGCTAGACTAATCATTGTATGATCCTTTTGCCAATTATGGACATCAGGTGAGTATATAATGTGTTTACTTAACAAGTTGAAATCTGTTAACAATGTTTTTCTTGCTGTTTGTGTCTGGAGAAGAAAGCTACCCATTGACACCTCTGAATCGCAATGGCGACCTGTCTGGAGAGAGCATTGATGATCTGTGGAGTGGTAAGTAATCCATGTTGTGCTCCCTGCTTGTTCCTCAAGAACCACCCATAGATGCAGTACCCCCCAGCCTTTCCCAACTGTCATTTTCCAGCCCTTCCCTGCCATCAATGGAGACAGGAGCTGTTGATGCTCATGCAACTATGGCAAGTACAGTTATGGACACTGAAGAGACTGAGTCCATCAATATCTGTAAAACCATGGCAATCACATCCAGTACAGTCATGGACACCGAACCCACAATCAATATATGTTCAAGCATGGTGATCATGTCTGTGGGTGAGGAGGCAGACCCTGTCCCCATGGATACTGCTGTTGTTAGATCTGTGGGATCCAGTCTGGGTAAACACCCCATCACAGCAAATACCACCTGTGATATCACATCCTTAGGATCTTGTTTACCTAGATGCCCCTTCATTTCATCAGTGAGTGCTCCACACTATCCACCTATTTAAATGTATTGTCTAACTTGTACTGGCAGAAAGTGTTTCTGAAGGAATTAGACTACTCATCTAACCTTTGCAGTGACTTATACAATTTCATGTGTGAGCAAGTGAAGGAGCACAATGAACTCATGAAAACCTTCAAGGAAACATGCCTAACTATTGAAAAGAAATACAACTTAGCACTGGCTGAGGTACAACAGGAGCTGGAAGACAAAACTTGATCACTCAGCACATATGAGGAACATGTAGGGAAGGAACTTCATGTCCATGACACAACTATACAGGAGCAATGGATGTTGCTCGAAAGCCTTGACCAGAATGTTAGGATGCTTTGAACTGCACTAGACCATGAATTTACTAGATTAGATGTATGTCTATTGTCAGATACAATCCCTTGCACCTAATCCCTAATCCTTTCCACAGGGAGACAGAAACATGGAACTTTCACACTTGGCTGCAGAACATGTGCAACTCCAGCAAGAACTGTCACAAAAAAGTAAAGTGCCATGACAATCCCAGCAGCTTGTCATGTGACTGAGATGCCTAATTCAATGGCATAACAATGGTAATGTAATGATATCTTATCTTGTCTTATCATATCAATGCCATAACAATACTCCATTCAGTATTTGGATGTGCACCTTAAGCCCAATGAATCATTGCAAGTGCATGTGATGTGATCATTATCAATTTTCTGATCTAACTTATCAATTACATATTGTAATATTATGGGTTGTTTCAGACCCAAATCAGCTTTGCCTGTTGCCTTCCATCCACCATGCCCCCACATCAAAATTACCAGCAGTCAAAAGAGTTGTCCACTAAGCAACCTTGCAAGCACTGCAGGTAATCTCTATCTACCACAAGGAATCAAAAAGCATGAGACCAGTTGTGTGAAGGAGCACATGAACCACAAAGAACAAGACAAACACAATAAGGCATACATATGAGATGTTTGTTGAAGTCAATACCTTTCCCCCCTCTCATCTGTCCATTAATTTACAATGGTTGTTTACTAGCTGAAATTGCTAAGGAAGCAGTCAGCAGCTACATCCACATCATTAGTGCACCCTGGTGTCACTGGGTCCTTTGGGCTCTGCAGCAGCTGTAATACCAGCACCACTCAGGCAGCTGTCAGCAGGCCCTTCACAATCAATTCCAAGTACATAGACTGCCTTAGTGTTGCTCTCAATGCTTACACTTTGTGAGACAGGATCACCAACTGGCTTTGCTCTCAATGAAGATGACATGTGGATGGGTATGATGAGTCCTCATGGTAGGAATATACTGGACTCAGGTAAGTTTAGAATGTTCATCTCTGACTGAAATTCAACTAATCTCCTGTTGTTTGTGATGAATCTTGATTCTGACATGTCAATTGCAGCCCAAGTGGTGGGTCACTCAGTGAACTCCACTGTGCCAGATGGCCAAAACAACCATTGTCCCAAATTCAAGACTGAATTTCATCCCTGTAGCAAGTGCCCAATGCTTTTCCAATCTGCTGAAGAGTTTGGCCAGCAAAACCTCAAATACATGGCCCCAGACTGTGAGCCCTGGCGCCCTTTTGCTTTGGAGGGCAATTACATTTTTGCCACTGTCACTGTTGAAGCCAGGCTTAGCTCAACTCAGGTAGATTCCCTTCTCAAGTTGATTCATTGTATATGGCAAGGAACAGCAAGTGTCACACTGTGTAATGATGCTGGGCTTTGCACTGCTTTGGATAGAGCAGTGGCACAACTAACACCAGTAAGTTGTTTATTTCCAGTGTGCTTTTGACAAGTGGCTCACTTCCCAGCCACTTGTCAGTTCTCATAGTTTGAAATTGCTGTGCCCTATAAGGGCAGTGATGTGACATTCCCCATCCACATCTGCCCTTTGTGGGACTGGGCCCTCAATTGATTGCAAAATCCTTTTCTTGAACTGCACTTTGTCTGGGATGCTGAATGGGTCTTCAAACTTGATGGTGAGATGTATGAACACTTCTACACTGAACCTTGGATGGGCAATTGTTGGTGGGATATTCAAGTGCATTGTAATTAATATTATTTCATACCATTGTACTGTGTAAATTCACTGTGTTTCTTCCTGTTATGCAAATGAAGTCACAGTTACCCATGCATGCAGAGAATGCTGTTCCATTTGCATTTATTCTTTATGCTGACAAGACATCGCTGTCATCTCATGGTACTGCCAAGGGTTACCCCATGGTAGCACATTGTGCCAACCTCCCAGTTCACATTTGCAATGGTGAACAATACAGTGGTGGCTGCATGGTAGGCTGGCTTCCAATTGTGAGTACAATATCTCTTTGTTTTAGAGTAATAAATTGATCGAACAGGTTTTTGCAGGTTTCCAAGCTTGTGAGTGAGGAGAGAAAGACTGGCTATGTAAATTTCAAGCATGTCATCTGGCATGAAGCCTTCTATAAGCTCCTTGAGAAGGCTGTGGAGCTCTCAAAGGTTGGCTACCTGCATGAATGCTATGACAACATTTGCCAGTGGCTCTTTCCAGTTATTCATATCTTGTCAGCTGACTACAAAGAACTGTAAGCACTATTTTGTCTGCAAATTGATTGTACTTATGAAACCCAGCCTTTTTAGCTGTGTGATGACACTTATATGAGGCACAAAATGCAAATTCCCATGCCCATTTTGCCTAGTCCCTTTTGAGGAGCTTTGGGACTTATCAAAGACATACAAAATGTGCACTACCAAGCAACATCAAGAAGTGCTGGCATTATATGAGCAGAAGAAGTCAGCCAGTGAGAAGAAACTGAAATCTCTTGGGTTACATCCCATCAAGGTAGGGCTTTGACATACATAATCTATGTTTATGACTGACAGAATGTATGATAGAATGTTTTTTGGTTGGTAGAACACTCAGAGCCTGAACAGGCTGCAAGCTTCGAGCCACTTCACTCCCTGCACAGTGGCTTGGGAGGCAAGCACATGCATGAGGAGCTCAAGATTGTTGTCAATGAACTTGGCCATGATTTTGAGACATGTTTAGAAGAATGGTAAGACAATTCAATTGGGCTGCAGGGCTGGCTGACTATCTCTCATGGTTTCTGCCTTTCCCCATTGGCAAGGCCTTGCACATTTTGATACCATGATCCACATCACATTTTCTGACAGAAACAAAATGCAAGATCTCACCAGGGTAATCTAATTAGGATGTGTGTTTAAACATGGCTAATGATCTGGAATAGCAGTGTTTCTACACTGCTCTTGACATTTTGATGTCCACAACATCTCAAGCTGGGTACCAGTTGCTGCATATGATCTGCAGCTACCTACAGCTTGAAACTCTCATTGGGCTTGATGTACACACTGAGGCAACCCTCAGAATGATCAAACATGAACTTCTTGTTTTCAGGGGAAAACTCAAGGTATTCTGCTCCTTTGGTTGTCCATTATCATACAATGATTGTTGAAAATAGGTGTACCAATCCTGCATTCATCATTTGCATGATACAGGCCTCAAGGACAATTGGAACTTTCCCAAGGTGCACCTCTGGAAGCACATTACCCACAACATTCAGAGCAAAGGTGCTATTCATAATTACAGTGCTTGGCTGAATGAGAAGATGCACGCTCTGCTCAAAGATGCATACCAGGATCATTCTAATGGAAAGGATGTTGCGGGGCAGGTGCATATCAAGTCCTTACTTAGAGATGTTGTTGCACAATGTTTCATTTAGATTCTCCATATTGACCATCATTGATTTGTGATCAAACTCATTCAAGCATGAATTGATGCAGGAAATGAATGTGTTACTCATTTCACCAACAATGGCAACAGAAATGACAACAAGGACAATGATGAGCCATTTGAAGGAAACACCAGGCTTGGTGCACCCCAGCAACCTAGCTTGCTTTCTGATGTCAAGAACACTCACCAGGATGATTGGGCATTTGAGGGATTCCATTGGAGGCTGGAAATTTTCCTCAATGCTTGCCTCCCCACTTATGGGTACCCCCTCAACATGTGGATATGATTACAAGGAACAGATACAGTATGTCCTACTTCCTCATCTGTATACAGACTGATCCCCTGGCATTCCCCTCAAGGTCTGGGAGTACTGGTATTTGAAGGTTAGCTATGCTTCAGTGGTGGACTGGAAGGTTCGCCATGAACCACATCAGATGTAGTCCAAGTTTCCATGGTCAGCCATGATACAATTGCACTCTCATTCAACTTTCAGAGACCAAGGCTGCCTTTCTTCAACTCATATTCATGTTCACTTGCAAAATTGTGGCATTTGAGGACATTTTTCAGTTTGCACTCATTCAGCCACTCACAGCTGGGACCAGAGTGCGCAGGTTGGACCAAGATTTCCAACTTACCCAAGTCAAAGCCATATCCCATGCAGCATTGATATTCATTCCTGTAAAGTCAATCATTCAGGGCACATTGCTTTACCCAGATCTGAGCCACCATGGCAAGTTTTTAGTTGTTGAGCATGCTGATGGTGACTTGTTCCTTCGCATGAAGAGATGGACTCAGACTTGGTGCTGAGCACCTAGTAGCAGCCTAAACAGGATTCAAGTTCTGACTCTGACCAGATGTCAGCCAAAACTCAAGGCAATACTTTGGGTAAGTGGTCCCTGTTGTTGTGTATTACTTCATTCAAACTGATTTGGTTCTACACTGGTAGGGTCAGAACAATCAGACCTGGATGTTGGAGGGCCAGTGTCAGAATGAACATGATCAGTTTGCAATATGTGATTCTTTGTACACTGTGCTATTACATCTTATTGCATTGTGATATAACTGTTATTACTGGTAAGGCTGTCAGGGAGTGACCACATGGCATTGTCATGATGAAACACCCATTGAAATGATTCCTGAAGATGTGCTGCACATTGCTGGTGATGTGAGTAAACATGTCTTGTAATCATCTCACTGGACAGGCATTTTACATCACCCAGCAGCTCTCTTCTCGGAGTCAGGGTGGGCTTGAAAGCTTTTAAGGAGGCCTGCAACATAAAACAGACCCAGGCTGAGTAGTGGTGTTTTTGTCCTCTTGTCAACTTTGGCTCAAATCATCATCAAGTTCTCTTTTGTAGGCATGCATGAGGACTTTACAGATGCCCTTCATAATGTTGGTTTGGATTCTTCTGGCACTGACTCATGCTTGGACCACTCTGACAATGATGAGACCTCTGATCTTGAGGAGCTTTGAGAATGGTGTAGAATCATGCAGTGAACCACCTCTGGATGCTAGTGCTCCCCAGCTATGCAGTGTATGTCCCTTTTCTTTATCATTCTTTCAGTTTCAACACAGTTATCACTTACACTATGGTAACAGGCACTTGGTGCCACTCAGCTGGCATACTTGAAGCTTCACATTCAGATGAAGAAGCTACAAATTGACTACAACAGTCTACTCTCCACCCTCCTGCAGAGCTGCAAGAAAGCTGTTGAGAACAATCTGAACACTGTATTGGACAACAACATCATCACCCAGGCAAAAAAGTATTGTTTCTTCTATCATTTCTGGGTCCCTAAAGATGTTTTCCCACTCATCACTCTGCTGCCTGGATATGATCTGACTGAATCAAAAATTGCAGGCTTTAAAGCAGAACTCTATTTCATGCTACCCAGTGACCTCAAGGTCCATGCAACAACATATGGTAACTTTGGCCATGTGGTAAGTCAACATTCCCAATCCATAATTCAAAGGCTGGTGTTGATCACCTTTAGTTTTCAAATGCAGTTGGGGCTGAGAGGCCCAACATCCTCAAACCTGTTAAGGATAACATGCAGCAACTCTTTGCACACTTGGAACTTAGTGCTGACTTATTCACAAATGAGAATTCAAGAGCTCTGCATGGATCAAACGAGGCTGTGAGAGTGCTGCTGAAGATGCACCCAGGGAACATGGATGCTCACTCCCTCTCTCACCAATCCTCTTGCCCAAACCAGACACCCCAGTGGCCAGGGATTTATTCAAAACCCCACTCCTGGTTAATGTAAGTTTTCTTCACTACTTATGACTATATATATGCTAATTACTTCTATAAGATCATCTGGGTCATGGTTTTTGGCAAGGGAGTCCTCACTAGCAAGTGAAGGGTGGTCCACAGGGACAAGGTCAGAAGTTGGGGATCAGCTGGCCTGATCGCCATTGCTGCTACCTTTGTAAGTCTCATGTCACCTTTTTCTTCTGGTCTGGATATTCTGACAAATGTATAACAGGCACAGTACTTATTATTGAGTGATCATGAGCTTATGACCATTGGTGAAGAAAGTGGATTCAAGTATCAGGACAACTTTGAGTATTTTATCGAGCTATTGAGTCACCCATCAAAACAGGAGTGGTCATTGGAAGTGATGGAGTTTTTCAATCAGGGCATATGGAACACCTTGAGTATTGCCTCTGCTAGTGCAGCATTAGGCTCATCCAATGACACCTCAGTAGCTTCCACATGGGAGTCCAACATCTTGGTGCAGTTGAATGGCCCCTGGCAGCTGACACCTCCTCCTGACCTACACTTTGATGGACTCAACTCAACCTCTATTTCATGTCACATGCCAGAAGCAACCCACAGACATGCCACAGACTCAGTCATCATTTCTCAGGCAAACTCAGTCTCCTTGGCACTTTCAGTTGACATATCAAATCTTTTACTCAGAGGCAGTCATACATCAGCTCTACCATCCATATCTAGTCATGGAAAGGAGTTATCTGCCAGAAGAAGTCATTCTGGCTTGAGGATGGCTGAAGTTTCAGCAGCTGCACCAGTGAATGCCTGGGAACCACCTGCAAAGGAACATTGTGTCATGTGGCACAAGGGAAAGGGTAAGTAGTTATATTGTCATGGTCAGTCAAGTTTTGGGCTGTTTAGCTACTTCATGTGCCATATGCACTACTGTCATAACCACTCTTTTTAAATACAGTGGATCTTTTTCTTTGTTTCCTGTGACCTGACTCAACGATTTTAAGCCAATAAATAGGTTCAGGGAACATCTGACAAGTTTGAACAGCACTGTCTCCCTCTTGTTGCAACTCCCCTTGCTGAAGAAATGTCACCCTGGGTCAAAATTTGTGGGTGAAATTCTTGATGCCATACCTATCCCTGGTGTTTGCACCATCTTCATATGCTAAACCTCATGTGTTGGACATCATCTGAACACCCTTGATCCCCTGAGGTAGCTGTGGTGCCCATCTGAGCTCACCTTCCTGCAGTCTGGCTGGTTCTACACAACAAATAAGGGAGTGTCTGCTAATGACCTGAGACATGTCACTTACACTGTGCTTTACAGCCTGCTGCATCTTGCTATTTCAACTGTGTTTCATGCCCTCACTCTGCACACTCATTCTGTTGTCCAGCTACATCATCAGTCCCATCATACAGTCATTGTTACCATGACAGACAACACCTCTCATAGACTTGGCCTCTGCACCAATGGGAAGTACAGGCTCAGTAAGAAGATAGGCTTGGACACATTCAGTAGGCAGAGTCATTATGTGCTCGAATGTATGCCTACCCTTACCACTCCCCAGGTGACATCTACCTCGGAATTGACATCACCTCCAGTGAAGAAGTCGCCATTAAGCTTGAGCCCATCAAAGCAAAGCACCCTCAGTTGGAATATGAGTCCAAAGTTTACAAGACTCTGGCCAGCAGTGTCAGCATTCCATTTGTCAGGTGGTTCAGCACAGAGTGTGACTACAATGCAATGGTCTTGGACTTGCTTGGTCCATCCCTTGAGGACCTCTTCAACTTTTGCAGCTGCAAGTTTAGCCTAAGACCATGCTGTTGCTAGCTGACCAGTTGGTTCATAAATACATTTGGATCTTTCTCCCATTTAATTTACATCCCCAGATGTCTCATATTGAGTATATTCATTCTCATAAATTTATCCACCATGGCATCAAGCCTGACAGCTTCTTGATGGAGATCAGGAAATGAGGCAACCAAGTCAACATTATTGACTTTGGTCTTGCAAAGTACCATGACCCCAAGACTCATCTGCACATTCCATATAGGGAGAATGAGAACCTCACAGGGACCACTCATTATACCTTGATCAACACTCACTTAGTTGTTGAACAGGCCTGCCATGATGACTTGGAGTCCCTTGCTTACATGCTCATGTATTTCCTCTGTGGCACACTTCCCTGGCAGGGCCTCAAGGCTGCCACTGAGAAGCAGAAGTATGATTGGATCATGAAGAAGGAGATGACTGCCCCCATGGACCTGCTGTGCCATGACTTCCCTGATGAATTTGGCATATTCCTCAATTACACTTGAGCACTGTGGCTTGACAACAAGCCTGACTACTCCTACCTTCACAAGCTCTTCCATGACCTCTTCATTTGCAAGGGCTTCCAGTGTGACTACATCTTCGACTGGAGTGTTCAGTGCCATGCTCCTGAGAACAGTAATACCAGCACAAGTCAGAAGGCAAGCACTGGCAGAAGAAAAGTGGTCTAAGAGGAAGAAGACCACTGTGCCAGTGACAGGATGTAAGTGCCACACCCATTCCCTTTGTTATTGTTTCACTCTCTAAATCATTGCTAGGCTTCATTCACAGACCCATCAGCTGCAAGCCAATGCTGCTGGCACTGTAGGCCAACAATGTGGAGCAACTTGTGGAAGGGAAGGTGATATTTGGTGAAGGGCATGTTCATACTTTTTGATTTGCATGGGGCATGCCCTGGGTGTGCAACTGAGATTGCAGTTGGAGGGAAGTGGTAAGGTCACTCAGTTGCAATCAGGTCAAAGTTTGCAGTTGGGATGGCAGACCTGGTGGGTTGTTCTGTGGTGGAATTGGGTCACTGTAGTGCACCTCCCACCCTTGCAGCTGGCCCAATGTGTTACTCATTCTTGGTGATGGTTCAGCACCTCAAGCCTTGTCAAACCTACAGTTCCTGTTCAATGTCCACTATTGAATTCATCCATTCCACATGTACAATGGAATTGCCATTGCATCTGAATTGATCATTTTTGTATAGTATGGATGCACTCTTTTCTTTCAAGCTACCCTGATCTCCCTCTGTGGAATGGCATGGATGGCCATCTATTCCATTCTCGCTTTGCCAGACTTATTCCCTTCAGTGCCTGTCCTCATACAACATATACTACTATATTTGCTTCTTCATGTGCCATCCATGACCATATATGCTCTTCTTCATTCACCCCTGTTTTCCATTGTGTGGTTTATTTTTCATGCATTTGTTATCCTTCTGTCTTCTCCCCTCACTGGGATAGTCTTTCTGGTGGAGGTGAGTAGGCAGAAGAGGGTGCCAAGTCAAGGTAGCAGTGGGAGATATGATTAGTTTTATGAAAGAATGAACTCATGTTTTGATATGCCCTACTCATGACTTCATAGGGTGGTAGAACATTGCATACATACAGCCTAGCAGACTTGAAACACCAATCCAGAACTCTGATTATCATTGACTGTCATGTCAGTATCCAGATGAGGATTACCTTTTTGGGATAATTATGCCTTGCAGTTATAATGCATGCAGTGTTGGGACTTGAATACATTTTCCCTTCAACCACCACTGTCATTACATGTCAATGTCTGATCTTGCACCCAATGTGACAGTTACTGTTCAATGCAGCACTGTTGTCTGACTTCGACAATAAAGACAGGTGAACAATCAATGAATGTGCTCACTACTCACACAAACCATTTGATTTCAGGACAAGTATTGTAGTTGACTGTTGTATGGTATTGATCCTATATAGTGCTAACTGATGGCACCCCACACTGCCAACTTCCTAACTGTCTTGTCAACAGTTGGGATTCCTCTGTTCTGCAAGTGGCTTTATCACTTGATGTACATTTATGCATCACATCTGTATGTCATCCCTGGCTCAGACTTGTTTCTTCCCTCTGACTGTCGCCAGCCATGTGGCATGCTCCAGACTTGTCACTGTCCCATTCATGATCATCCAGGTACCTCTGACTCACTATCCCCTTCCCCCAACTGCCAACCATACAATGTGCACCCAGACTTGTTGCTGTCCACTTGCCCCACCTATAATCACCCTGGACCTGTCACTATTCCTTCCTCCCAGTTCATGACCATGCAACATCCTCATGGACTCATTATCTGCTTCCCTCACTGCTGACTATGCTGCATGTCCCTGCAGTCATTCCTGTCCTCTCTTCCACTGGTTCCTCAGTGTGCACCATGCCCCCTGTATTCACTATCCCTTCCTTCCAGCTGCCAATCATGCTGCACACCTGGACTTGCTATACCCTTCCCTCTGACTGCCAATAATGCAGTTACCTTCATGTTTCCTCATTTCCCTCTTCTCTGTTCTATGGCATCGGTACATGGACCTATCCTAGCAGTGCACTCATCAGTCATTCCACACTGTACAGAACACCTCACATCTTTGCTATGAATGGAATCCCTTTCTCCCTGGTTGCCATCCTACCCTAAGCCAGGCAGCCCAGTGCCACCACCCCACCCCACCTGGTTCCCTTGGAATGCATTTGGTAATGTATTATGAAACATCATCCATTACCTGATCTAATCCAGACTTGGATACATCAGATCAGGTTGAGTGGAAGATACCTATGAAACTGCATAACTAGTTACTACTTGTGGTAGAATAGTAGTATGGACAGGGTCATAGCAACAAATCTGAAAGATGCTACAATAAAAATACTATTGCAATATGGATTGTGGATGTTACAGTGAAGATAATAGCATTTCACTAATTATAGGATTGTTGTATTGGATTCTGCCCCATTGACATGCTTGGCAATGGCTTAAAATAGCATTGTAATGCATCTGGCCATTGTCAGGCACTCCAATTGGCAGTCAATGACTAACAATAGCATTCCAATCATGTGTTCCCAGCTTGCAGCAACCAGCCATTGTCAGGCAATCCAATTGGCAACCCCCAGATTACAATGCCATGCCAATGAAAACTTTACCCATTGGCTGGGCACTAACATACATCATTCATTGTAATTACATACAGTCACATGTAATGGCCATAATTTTTTTCTGACAACTCAAGAGCTGAGACACAACCATAGAAGGGCAAAGGACTGTGGTTGAAAATCTCCAAGCTGAATTTAGGATGCTGCAAGCTAAACTAGATCATGATATCACTAGAGTAAATGTAAGGCTTCTTTGTTATGAATGTGTAGTGCCTAAATCACATTTATAGACAGAGAAGGAGGCTGAGTTTGCAGCATTGGCTCAAAAATTCAATGGTGCTGTGCACCAACTTGAAGCCCTTAAGCAGAGTCACCAATCATCCTGTTCTATGCAGCCACACATATCCTCTTTGCCATCTGGAGTTCCTCACAGGTCTGATCCACAGGTGGAGATCAGACAACTCAGCACTGTAGTCGAAGAAGAACCTCATGCAAGCACAAGTGTGGATGCCAAAAGACTTTCCAGAACACTTCTTAGGGAAGCCACAAATGGCTCAGTTGCAGAAGAAGTTGTCCAGATGCTAAGAAGTGGTACTGCAGAGCCTCTTTACAGTACACCTTCCCCACACTGCAAAGTTAACTCCAGGAAACATTGCCAGTCAACTAGAGTGAAACAGGAGATCTTGAATGATCAAGAGCATAATGATAATCTGGCAAGTGATTTACTTCCATTGCAATGTCTTTCTAATGATAATTGTGTTGTAATGTACCATAGGGGCACATCAGGGAACTGTTCAGTAATATCTTTTCAGTTACAAGGGATGAAGACTTCCCTGCCTATGAACTACCTCCACATGAGGTGGTAATGGATTTTACTGAAGGCAATAGTCCAGGCCCCAATCTCCCCAACTTGCAATGGGACTTCTCAAGCCCAGTTTCATCAGTTTGGAACCAAGCCATTATTGGTATTTTGCTAAATGAGTTGCATGCACTGCACATGAGAGAGAAGTGGACCTCCCTGCCAAGAAGTGATGCTATACTGGAAAGAGGTGATCAAAGACAAATTTAATTGGATCAAGGTGACTTGGAATAAAGGAAGACCTTGGAGACTTGAGAATGATATTCTGGAAATGCCTGACCAAGTTTCCACTAGGTTGACACATGAAAAAACAGATACCCTCAGGACAGCATGGAAGGATATGTGTAGGGTAGCAGTAAGTGTTTTTTTTTTCATCCTTGCTTGCATCATCTGACAAATTTGCAGAAGTTCCACTGTCATTCAATCATTACAAAGTCCCTCTTATGCACAGTGATGGGACAGGGAACAGAAGATAGAGACATCTGGAAATGGCTTTCCAATGTTGTCAAACACTTGGGCACTGATGGCATGAGTTCTGAGGACAGCAAGGAAGAAGATATGCAAATGGTTTTCCGAAGTTCACAGTTTGCCATGGGGATGCAACATTGACAAAGAACTATGATTCATCAATTCTAGATGCAGAGAAGATCAAGCCATTTTCTCCCTTAAAGGTGCCAAACCAGCTAAGCGTGTCAGGCTATCTAATCCTCTTCCATCATCTCATCAACCTGTACAAGGCTTACCTGCCTTCCTTGTACAAACCTGACTGGCTAGAAAGGAATCCCAGCATTACATCAGACAAAGAATTTCAGAGGATGCAGGTCATTGTACATGGTGTATAATGTATTTGATTGTCTATATGTCTTTATATCTCATGTACTAATCTCAATACTAATTTCATGAGCTGCTGTACCAGAAGATGCTTGTATTAATGTTCAACCAAAGGCCCCACTCAGTCCTAAAACAGTTTTACTTGCATGGCACAATGTGGCTATGATGACATACCTGAAGCAGTTGAAGAATGACAGTGTCTCTCTGAGAATACTGCCACTGCATGAAATGACACACCACCCACAATGGCCAGACAAACTCTAGTATGTCTGAAAGCTTAGCACTATAGAAGGATGCAGGGAAGTGTGGATAATGACTAAACATGTTGGGCACATCTTCACTAGCAGGAAGCTGGCACTGAACAGCAAAATGAACTTCCCCTTCATGCATGACAATGTACTTGATACTGCCAGGAACAGCAGTACAAGTACAGCCTCTGGGGTAGAAGAAGATTAAACTGTTGCCAACATGGGTGGAGCAGCCACTGAAAGTGGATCTGCCAAACCAGAAATGGAAATAGAAGACAAGTGACCTTGATGACATGAGTTTATGAAGATTGCTTGGAACTGGGGAAGGATGTTTGTTTGACTTGTAGTTAGAGTCATAAGTCAAGCCTTTGGAGTCAGATAGGTATTTGTCGAAAAGAGATTTACATTGCTGAATGATTGTTGGAGCATCTGAGCAAGAGAGCCAAGATTTGAGTTGGGAACTTCATATGAATGTTTGTAAACAGTTTCTTCTTGCTGGCCTGTGGATAGCATGAGCATTATAGAGACCCTGAAGAACTCCAAGACAATGTACCAAATTTGTGGTTTGTGGGCATATGTTGCAAGTGTCCAATGAGACATTCATAAGGGAAGCACCACCAGGACTGCACAGGTCCAAAAAGTCTGAGATAGTCATAAATATGTATAGACATGTGGTAATTTGGATGTATAGGCACATGGGGGAAGATTTCTGGCAGGGACTTCAGCCAACTCCTGGCATAGTGCCAGTAAGAAGTCATCCACTCCTCAGTCATGCTTTGCAGGCATGCAACACACACAGTGGAGACTAGATTCATTGTGTGCTCCAAGATGCGAAGATACTGTGACTCTAGTTCATCAGCACAATGCTTAGAGTCTTGTCCCCATAAGCTGATTAAAGCCAAGGGGACATAAATTGTGACTAAGGTATGCCACTCATCAGCTATCAAGGGACCAGCCCATGTATTGCCAAAATTATGTGGTACTGATCTCACCCATGATGGGTCATCAGTGTCTTTGATCACTTGCTGGATTTGGTGCATCACTTCTGGGGTTGAGGTTTGGACAACAGGGGGAGCTCTCATGGGCTTCATCCTGATGCTATTCAGAGATAAGATAATGGTATTCATCATGGAGTGGCACTCACCCAGGCTGATAATGCATTTACCCAGTGTGCTTTGCACACTCTACTCCCCCTCTCCAGTGTTGGTCGAACACCAAGTCCTTCAGCCATGTACTGTAATGCTTTGGTGTTCTTCACCCTGAGTCTCTTCTCTAGTTGGGAGAAGTGGCAAGCTATGTTGATTCAATCATCTTCACTGTCATCACAATAGTCCTCCATGGCACTGAGGAGCAGCATCTGAATGATGCCGATTTGCTTTTTACTATTGTGGTTTAAGTTGACAACCTTGTCTTCACCTGGGCTGCTGAAAGTTGTGCTCAAATGCCACACATGTTGCACTTGCTATATGGTTTTTACTTGCCATAACTGTCATGAGTTCCCAGGTGTTCATGAATCTCATCTTGGGTTAACCCCTCCAGGAGGCAGTGCATCGGATCAATCACTAATTGACATGCAGGGTTCCAGTAATGCAAGCACCTGGAGTGTTGACCATCTTGTGCCATAAGTAGTGAAAATCTTGTTGCATTTGGCAACTGAGTGAGCCCATCTGTAGGATTCTGCCTGTGATCATAGAAAGGTGTTATTTCAAAATTTCCAGTCATCAGAGGTGACATCTGTTCACCTGAGGGTACTGATGCAACTGCAGTTGCAAGTACTGCAGTAGAAATGACTCATTGCTGCAGCTAGCTGTGCAGCTTTCCTGCTAGCAGGAAGATCACATACAACACAAGCCAAGGCTGCACAGGCAATGCAATTTCTCTGGGTGCCCAAATGAGAGAAGTGCATGCCTTGTTCCCAACTGGTGACCAGGTCATCAATCAGGGGATCCAGGAAATAATTGATCTGGTCACCAACAGGCTCATTTGGGCCTGGGATAATACCAGCTAGATACATGTTTTTGGGTTTATAATGCATGTCCAGGGGGAGGGTCAGGCATGTGCAGGATATGATACCACAAGAGGTAGTCGCATTACATTGTTGATTTCCTTCAATATTGAAGAAATCAACATTAAAGGAGAATACAAGGCAAGTTTCATCCCCACAATCTACAAATAGTTTTTCTCCATCAGGTCCTTTGAATGTCCACAGGAATTTGCCATCCCAGACATCTCTGAGGAAGGAGGGTTTGTGATGTAGGTTCTCAACCAGGTGATCACATGGCTTGTCCAAGAAGTCTTCTAACCTGAGCCACACAAGTAAGCCTCCAACAAAGTCATGGAAATGGTGGTAAACAAAGGGCTTGATGGGATGTTTGCAGCCATCCTCCAGATCCTTAACTAGAAGAACATTACAGATGTCCTCACTTGGGTGAGGCACATTTGTGCAGAGCACAGGGTATGAGTAGTTCCCTTTATTGGCTTGAGGCTTGTATATATAGCTGCAGACAGGACACACAGCATACACTATTGTGCATGGCTCAAGATTGAAATGGGAAAGTGCAGCTGGTATAGTTTTCAGGATTTGGGAAAGAGTGCACTCACATAGTGCATCTGCCCTCAGGCCAACCAAGTCAAATACTAAGCTGAGGAGGTGTGAAATCATTTGTAGGAAAAATTCCCCAGCTCTGTGGCTAACACCCAGTACCAGCACACTAACAGTAGCAAGGAGAAGGGAGACCTGGACTGTTTCATCACATTTATTGATTGATAATTTGAAGTGGTGCACTACATTAACAGGATTAGTAGCAAATTGTGAGTTCAATTGACATGCATACATGAGTCATAGTCTATAGGCCCATTGTCATTATCCTCAGGGCTGATGCATTCTTCTAACTTGTCACACAAACTGCTAAGTTCTCTCTTGCATTTTGTAACAGAATCCACTTGTCTTGTTACATTGCCCAAGGCATTCCTAACTGCTTCGAGATCAGGACAAAGTTGCCAATAGCTGGCAGAGGGGAATTGTTGTAGAGTTTGGATCTGTTTCTCAATAGCATTGAGTACCTTGTGCACTTTCACTGTGCAGTTGTTACTTTCATGATTGGATATATGGCTGTGCCATAACATTCAGTTACCAAATTGTACATGCCAATTATGCCATGTTACCTGTGTGCAACATTTGTACCCACCATCACAGGGGCATCAGAGATAGTTAAAGCAGGGAGGGCAGAAGCAAGTTCACCTACCTCCATCTGTAATGAAGACTGCAGGGTGGAAGATATATGGTGGGCAAGATCTGACACAGCATGTGCAGGTTCAGAGATAGTTAAAGCAGGGAGGGCAGAAGTGAGTTCATCCACTTCTGCCTGCAGTGAAGGATGCAAGGTGGAAGATACATGGCAGGCAAGATGTAACCTAGCACATGTGGATTCACTGGGAAGGTTCTGGCTCAAAAATTCTTCCCTTCACTGGACATCAGCAAGGTGTATAGCATGGCATGCTAGAGGGAGGGGTTTTCCTCTGGGATTTACTGCAGTTCCATGCTCATCAACCTCAAACACAATGTACAGAGACACTGAAAATGTTGAGATCAAGCTGGCATAGAGCAGAAGAGGAAGAGGAATTTAGTTCATAAATTGTGTCAAACTGTGCCCCTTACCACTTCTTTTATGGTACATGGACAAAGGTCCTCCCCATCATCAGGACAAGATTTGCATGTTGTTGGCATGGTACATATTGACTACAAGGATTTTTTAATGGTATATGGATGAGGGCCCTCCCTGTCATCAGGACAAGATTTGCTTGTCATTGGCATGGTACATATTGGGTATTAGTTTCAAGTACAAGGAAGCAAAATGATCCAGATGCATGCAGTGGTATGGACCAATCACTGATAATCACCCAAGTCAGGTGAACAGAATGGGTCTGGAGCAGCTAATTGCTCAAAAGTAAAGATAAAGATCTGGTCAGTCTCCAGCACAGCCAGGAAAATGCACCTCCATTGTCATGGGCATCTGCTACCTGATTGTAGTTACAGTAGTAATTTTAGTTGTGCCACTTACATCATTATGTAAATTGCATTTCACACTGAGCTTTTTGTTCACATTGTTAAAATCAGATTGGGGATTCTTCCTACAATTACATGTCACGAGGAGCTGAAGTAATGGTCAATGTTGTAATGGTCATAGTCAGAAGGAAACACACCTCTATTAGCCATGGTAGGTACTGTCATGAGGGTGCAAAAATAATAGAATTGTTGCATTGGCAATGCCTGGGTTTTGCCTTTACAACATTATGCAGGTGTTAGGTGTTAAACAATAATGGATACAATGTATTTACATTGACAACTTTGCCTGACCAATGAACAATTTACCCAATGGTATTCAGCTCTATTCTCAAGTTGCCAATGAAGTATGCACTCAGGTGCCACTTGCAGGGGCACCAGGATGCCATCCTCTGTCTAGCAGTGTCAAACTCTGGAACACTGTTGGCAAGTGGAGGTAGGAACTCAGTAGTGTTATTTTCGAATCCCATGCATATTAGTTGGCAGGTTTTGATGGACTGAGGGCATGGGACTTATGCAAAGAGGTTCAGCTACCCCAACCTCTGCAGATGTGAAGTCCCAAAGATCCCATTACAACTATTACTTGGCTTGCACAAAACAACAGTATACAAGAAACCTTGTGCTGTGGGACAGGACTGGGCTACTTGCTGATCTGGAGGCAGTGCCCACATACTGTGGTCGAATTCAAGGAAGTAATTGCCAGGAGGATTAGTGGAGGCCATGAAATCATGGCCATTGCTTCAGATGCAAGTAACAGCACAGGGACTCATATCATCATGACAATGCAGGACAAATGAGTTCAGGCCTGGACAATAGATTCTAGGAATCAACTGTCAAACATCTTCAGTGTCAAGTTAACGATGTCCATTCCTCATGATGTGTACCTCCAAGGCTGCAATGTCATAGTTTTCAGGATGTACAATGGAGACATGTAAGACAATAGGACCCAAGACTCATGCATACAGATCTAATAAGATTGCCCTTTGCAAGACATGTTCTACGAAGTGACAACAGGATGGTCAGCCAAAATGAGGTCTACAGGAATGACAACATGAGTAAGAGATCTTAACATTTCAGCAAACCAATTGATCTGACCTGCACCTAGGGGTTCTGCATGCATCGATGAGATGGGAAGTTTATTTGTCATAGATAATGCTATAAGTGGATTTAGTCTACATTGACTGAATGACAGAAGCTGCATAAGGATGTACAATACCAAACTGCTAAAAATGTACCCCAAACAAGTAGCCTTCACAGAGGACAGCACTGATGATCATTGGGGGATCTGACAATGGGTTAGTATATATCTTCGAGATGAATACCAGAACCCAGTGACAGGTGCTACAGCACTCGAGGATGGCACTGACACAGACGATTACAGTGAGCATCCTCACAAATGTAGAAACAATCCTACACCCACATGCATCAGACATATGATGGGGAGGATCACACAGGAATCATTGCAGTGTCCTCCAATAATGACATGGACAATACAATAATGGTTTGGAAGAAGCCAAAGAGGGATTTGCAATTGCAGCCAGGGCAGAGAAAATGCTCATTGTGGGCCCTGCTTGGGGTTATACACACCACAATACAATTCTTAATGCAACTACTCACCATTGCCTTCATGGTGAAGCTCACCTATGATGTTGCAGTTAGTTACTGCCTACCCAATGAAGTTAATACCAACTGACCAAAGGCAGATCATAGGGGGGCCACTGTGGAGAATGATTTAATGATTGAATTCATCAGTAAGAGGAGTAGAGTGAGCTAGTTGACTTAACATGTACAAACTTCAGCAGTATCTTTTGATGTGGACAATAAGAATGATCTAGGGGTATGTAGTCAGATCAATAACCAAGTAGTGCAGCTATACATTGTGTCTATCTGTACTCAAGCATGTGCAATTTCATTATATCTTGGTCTACACTGGTATTATTGAAATTCTGTAATGCCCACTTTGATAAGTTACTACAAGCTACCTTAATTATTATGGTTGACAGTGTCTACATATATACAAATGTATGTTTATTGGGTTAAACACTCAACAGCACTCAGACATTGTACTTCAAGTTGCCAATCACTGTTGCAGTGGCAATCAAGTCAGATGCTGCTCACAATACCCTACCATGCACATTTATTGGGTGGAATGCTTGAACTGCAATGAGCAATTGTGAATTGAACATCATGCCAGTGACTTACTGCAAAGGATATGACACAACTGTGGGATGCAGTTAGTACACAGGTAGCACTGTACATCAGCCACTTACCTGTGGGATAGTGAAAAGAGGGGAAAAGTGTTCATGAGAAAGTTTGCCACTGATATACTGAATGCAACTTATGATCACATGGTAGCCACTTAAGCAAAGCACCAAACCTGACACATGCATGTGATCATGAGTTGCATTCAGTATATCAACAACAACTTTTCTCACAAACACCTTTTCCCTTTTACCACCACTACATAGGTAAGTGGCCAATATGGTGACCACCATTAGCACTAATTAATTTGGTTATTGGAGTATAAACTTGGTTTGTTACTGAGCTAATGGGTCACCAAGGGGCACATTACATGGGACTTCTCTCATTCTTATGAGGTGCAATCAGGTGGTCCCATTACCCCCTTTTTGCATGACCTCACAGCTCAGGTATGGCATCATACCTCTCTGCCCCTTATTATCTGGCATCACCTTTCTGACCCATCCTACTGCATTGCCAGGTGAGTTATATTTCTCACATGTCAGATCTCCTTTCTGACTTGTCCTACCACATCACCAGTGCCATTTTTTCTGTTTCCCTGCTCACCCATCCCTTGTCATGCCATTTTCATTCATGTTAAGGCCACTTTCTTTCCTCCTATCATTATCAGTTATCAAGCTTGTCAGCCCTTGCCCCTGTATTTTTAGTTCTTTGAGTCATAGTTTTGGGCCATTCAGCTTTTTTTGGGTTTTTTCACACTTGTCATTTTTCCTTGGCTACAAATCTGTATTTCTAGTGTTACTTGTTTTCATTTGAGTCTCCTCATAGCACTGCCCTAGTCGCCAATGGTCCTGTACTTATCCAAGTCAGCATACTTACTTGTGTAGGTCAGTGGCCAATATGGTGACTGCCATTAGTGCTAATTAATTTGTTTATACAAGACTAATCGACTGGGTGCAACCATCACTATGAAATTTTTACCTCAGGCTGCTTGTGGCTGAAGCTCCCAGCCACTGATGGCTTTGCCCATATGTCATTCAGCCCATCCTTGCAGCTCCACCTCCTTTTTGGAGAAGCATGACATGGTGCCTCCTGGGCATGTGTCAGCCACCATGACCTCAAGCACCATCATCAAACATCACACTCTCCTGCCAACCCAACAAGTACTGGTCAGCACTGCCTAATACTGAAGGGCACACTCAAAGACAAAATTCACCACATCAGTAAATGTCAAACTAAAAAAACCCTGAAAGGGGTGGTATTAGAGAATGGGACTCAGCTCCCATTATATGATGTTTGCCTGGTCATCACTGTGTGACTTGTTGATGCTGCAAGATAGGCCATTCAGCCTAATCATGATCAATTTACTGACATTTCTTCAGTGCTTTTCATATAGTCACATTGTATAGACACATGTAGGATCTGTATATAGACATCACCTTCATGAGCTGCATTGATATGCCTCTGGACATGAAAATGACCAAATGAGGTGTATCCCTCAGAATGGTCAATTTACCTACAACTATAACAACAAAGGCAGTGCACTCCCCATCATTATATTACATACTGCCTGGGCTGCATGCTTCCCTCCAGTACCATTACTAGGAGATTAGTCAATCACACTGTCACCTAGATATGCTTAATCACATTGGAGAATGCCTAATATGGAGATCACTGGGCAGTCACCAGCCAATTGTTGGTCTGCTCTCTGCCCAATGTCTTCTGAGCATCTTGGAACTGATATTTAGTTATTGAATTATGCATCCCCTATGAAGCAATTTCCAAATTTGAACTTTTACTGTTGTTACCAGCTTTTTAGGAAGATATTATTGTCAATAACCTTGTGACATTCTTGCAATATATAGTTTTCAATTGTCTTTGGATACACATCTCAATGTTTTTCACAATGTAGACTTTGGATAAATTTTATATGTTTGCTCAAAATCAATATTTACAAGAGTCTCATAATTTGATTCATAAGAAAATGTGCTGTATTCACTTTGGAATACTCTTTAGAGTGTGTGATAACATTGAAACTGCTGGTGTGTCAGGATGTCTTCAGATGGTGAAGGAAGTCGAGATGACAGTGAACTGACTCTTCGCGTAAAGCAGGTCACGTGCAACATGCCCTCATACATATTCGGGACCACTAGACTATTAAGGCTGAGAGACTGTCCTCTTCTTATCGCCATGTCCAAGTCAAAACCCCCTCCTCCGGGAATATATGTACCCACCGTCCTCTTCTTCAACGAAGATGAAGACTTTGACATTCCAGCCATCAAGGCACACGTTCTCCGCCTTGCCCAGGTGACCCAGATGCCTATCTGATCTCCGACAATTCTGCGATGTAAACTGACCAACCGCCGTCACACCCCCAAAACTAGGCTGGTCTGACAGGCATCATCGTACAGGGTAGCAATGGCGAAGCCCAGCACCTGTCTCACGAGGAGCGGAAGCAGGCCATAAGTCTCACTCGTGAAACACTAGACGAGAATGGCTACAAGAACGTCGTTATCATCGCGGGATGTGGCGCCCCATCTGCGAGGGAGTCCAAAAAGTTATGCGCAGATGCAAAAGAAGCGGGGGCCGACTTTGTAATCGTACTCACCCCATCAGTGTGGGTAAAACGGATGACCAGAGACGCCATCTTGGCATTCCATCGCGAGGTATGTCCTTGGTTATGAGAAAACTCTTTAAAGTTGCATGATTGATAACACGAACCTTAAGGTCGCAGACCACTCGCCGCTACCCTACCTGATATACAACTTCCCCTCTGTCACAGCGGGGATTAATCTGGAGTCAGATGTTATCCTTGAACTTTCCGATCATCCGAATATTGTCGGCACGAAGCTGTCCTGTGGAAGTATAGGAAAACTTCACCGACTTACCTCTGCCAAACCGAGCTCCGAATTCGCTACATTCGCCGGTTCATCAGATGTGCTGCTACAGGGCTTGCTATCGGGGAGTGCAGGCGCCATCGGTGCCCTTCCCAACATCGTTCCGAAGCTGCACATGAACCTCTATAAACTGTACCAGGAAGGAAAAATCGACGAAGCAATGAATCTCCAGGCACAATTGGGACAGGGTGATTATGCAACTTCAAAGTTAGGTAGTATCAGCGCCATCAAAGCATTGGTTTCTCAGAACTTTGGTTATGGAAAAGAGTATGTCAGGACACCACTCCGCATGGCGACTGCTGAGCAGTTGCACGGGCCATACTATGACAAGTTGGTGGAACTGATGACGTTGGAGAAAAGCCAGCAAGTACCCCATGGAGAACTGAATTAGGCGCTCACAAGCGTGTCTCGTAGATGTACACGTTAGTACTTGAGGAGTAAATCGAATCGCTGCAGTGTGCGGACGTGTGGGCAGGGTGCTGAGCTAAACTTGTCGAACTCCGTCAGACCGTCATTAAGCCTCAAGTCATAAGAGTATTCCTGGACACCGTCCTAGTCCAGGTGTGGAAAGAGGTTTCGTGACCTCGACTGCCAGACACTAGTCTCACACACGCAGGCCGAGTCGTACTGCCATATGAAGCTCTGTAAACCACTGTATACCATAGCCGACGAAATGAGAGACCACGAACTTGGGTTCATGGATTGAACAACAATTGAGCACACCTCTCTGAGAGAAGAGGTTCACTCGGATCGCAAACATCACCAGTGGGAACGGCTGGCCTTCCTCTTTCAATGCGGTATCGATCAGGGAAAAGGGAGTCGAGAGGGAACGGTTATTGTGTTCCGTCGAGTCTTGGTCGAGTCTCTGGTTTGCCGCAACGACAGACTACTAATTGGGTAGGAAAGACGTCAATCAGGTTTTGAATTCGTAGTAATCCCTAGCTAGTAGTGGCCCATACTACTAGGAACACTTCAGCACATTGCAGTAACGGGCCATTTTCGACCATCCAAACACTCGAACCTTGTACCTGCACACATCTTTGGGCCATGAAGCATGTGGAACATATGTCACTAGTCCGGATACCAGCCAGACTTTCCTATTCTCAATGGTCCTTACGACATGGTTAGACGCCAGTAGCCGGGCTGGCGAACAACTGTTGAACCGACACACGCAGGATTTTACCGCCCCCTGTGTAGTCACCTCGATTTTGGGAGCTTCTTTAAGTACCCTGGAGACGAGGTTGAGAGATCAATCCTTCTCATTCCCAGAGCGCATGGACGCCCTCGACAATCCCGCTCAGGACGACCTCTCTGAGGAGGATTCTGCTGTCCTGGAACGCGTTGTCTGGAGGAAGCTTGATAGATGTGTCCTCTTTATGTGCGCCATGTTCTACTTGATTTCTTCCCTCGTAAGCCGTGCTATGCATTTCGTACATTCGAAGGCCCGCTCAGTTTAGCTTCCCGGACATTCGGGACAGGAATAACATTGGGAATGCGCGTGTTGCCGGTATGCAGACAGCACTGAAAATGTCAAACTACCAAGTAAGCTTTGACGTTGAATGATGTCTTTGTGGACTATCTGATCCTGTCCACAGTATACCCTGGCATTAACGATCACTTATATGTAAGCACGTTCAAGGGAAGTTGCGGAATTTCTATTTGAACCACGTAACCCCTACACTGCTATGGAGTTACCTTCAAACCTGATCTTGAAAGTTGGTCCCTAATTCTGATTGTATATTGTTCTGACCTTTATAATTTGTAGCGTGTCAGACTAAATCTCATGTTACCTGCTATGGTTACCCTGTGGGGCATAGTTTCTGCAATGCAAGGTACGCGACTCTCGGGTGATCGACATCTTTCTCTTAATTGTGATTCTATCTAGGACTTGTTACTAGTTACACTGGACTCCTTTTATGTCGGTTTTTTCTGGGCTTGACCGAAGGTAAAATTAGAAATGTATAAGATACCAAATCTCTCATAAACCGTGATGTCCCGTAATAGGCGGCCTCTTTCCGGGGCTTGTCCTTCATCTTTCTTCTTTCTACCCCAGAGAAAGATTGCAGATCAGGTTAGTCTAGGGATTTTATTACGCCAATGATAGTACCCACGAGCTCATGATGTTCCCTTGCAGGATTACGGCTTTCTTTGCCTCAGTGTCATTAACAGGCGCTTTCTCTGGCTTACTAGCCGCTACTATACTGCAGATGGACGGAATAGGTGGAAAACCAGGATGGGCATGGATATTCATTCTCGTATGTCTTCCTTTCAATGTCACCGAGCATGATATCCATGGGGCTTCCAGGAGGGATTGTTCACCTTCGTATTCGGTATCTTCTCATTTTTCGTTTTGCCTCGGTCCCCAGAAATCGTGCGCTTTTTATCTTTAAAGGAAAGATCGTATGTTGTCTCGAAACTGAAGAGCAGCAAGGCCATCTCCGATGATGATAGGCCCGACGACTTCAGCTGGATGGAAGTGCTAAGAGCAATTCGTTCACCGCAAGTTTTAATGCTCTGTGTTCTGGTATTCTTTGGAGGGACACTATTTGGCGGGCTTTCATTGTCAGTCTCCGTATTTAATGGTATCCTTCTGCCTGACATTATATGTGCAGCTTTGAGCCAACAGTCGTTGCTGGCTTGGGGTACACAGGCAATCAAGCACAACTAATGAGTGTTCCCCCTTTCGCCGCTGCATTTTTAGGTAAGCATAAACCGGCGCTGTGAGTTGTTAATTACCGACGCATTGCCAACATGCAGCCTCCATGATTTCCGCATTCGTTTCTGATCGGTACGGATGCCGTGGCTTTACAGTGATATTTTTCGCAATCTGGTCCGTAATCGGGTTTTCCATGTTCTATGGTATAGTTAAATGTTCTGTATTCCCCCCAATCTACTGACTCGACAACTCAGCGGCCACTTCCCAGCGTGTTCAATATGCCTCACTCTTCTTCTCTGTGACTGGCGCATATGCTAGTGCTCCAGCTGGCGTCACTTGGCTCGCCAATAACAGCGCACCTCACATCCGTCGAGCAAGTAGCATTGCCTTCGCAATTGTTTCAAGTAATTTAGGTGGCGTTCTCGCCATCTGGTTGCTTGGTTTCCTGTCACCTGCTCCAAAATATACGGCAGCCACGATCACATTCATTGCCATGTCCATTGGCCAGGCTGTGGTCTTATCTCTAAATCTGTTTTACCTTTCACGGGAGAACCGTGCGAAGGCAGAGATGAGGCTTTCTATGGCGAAAGATGATGAATCTGACCATTTGGGAGATCGTAGCGCATGGTTCGTATACGCTTTGTAGGTCAAGGTGCAAAGGACGAGAATTCAAGCGGGCGGACTCCGATAGAAAATGATCTGCCTGGAACCGCACAGCAAGTTAAAGTACTTGCTGAGTGTAAGGGCCCGTTTGGATGCAATTAAGTATGATTTTTCCTGCAAAAAACTCAAATGAAATCATGAAAATTTGATTAAGTGAAATATTGCCTGATGAGTGTTTGATGGGCCTTATTGTGGTCTGTCAAATGTCACAACATGAGGGAAAATTTTGATTGCTGTTTGGTAGCCCTTATTTTACCAGAGCATAGTTGTTCTGTTTGTCTTCCTGTCACCTTCTGTCCCAAGTCCTTATGGCCAAAAAGTCTGCGAAGGAGTTTCAAGTTTCCACAGCTGAACTGGGCACAACAGGTGGCACAGCCACACCACGAACAAGGGCAGATGCCACATCGTGGTCCAGTGCTGATGAGTCAGTTCTTGTCAGCATGCTCCTTGAAGCCAAGGACAATGTACTTGCAACAGATAGTGGATTCAAGTGCAAGGCCTGGGTTGAGGTTGAGAAGGCCCTTCAGGGCAGTGAAACCAAGTCAGGTGGAGCTCCAAAAACTGTTGAATGGTGCAAAACACATTGGGCCAAGGTGAGTTTGGTTGTCAAGGAGTCTATCATGCTGATTGAATGCCCCAGCTCAAGAAGGACTATGGTGTTGTCAAGGAGCTTTGAAAGGCATCTGGGTTTGGGTGGAATGAGGAGACCAAGATGGTGCATGCCACAAAGGAGGTCTGGGATGCCTACATTGAAGTGAGTCCACATTACCTGGCTGTTTCTATACTGACAACTATCAATAGATTCATAAGAGTGTGAAGCATTGGCAGACCACTCCATTCCCTCTGTATGATGCCATTGCAGAGCCTTGATGGTGTAGTTACCACTGGTAGTCTAGCCTTTTGTCCTGTTAGTCATATCTCAGCTGTAGATGCTCTTGATGGCCTGGATGTAGGTGATGCCACCCTTACTGACTTGGACACAGAGTCTGAGGATAATACAATTGAGGTAAGTGTGAATACTTCTTGCCCACTAAACATGTTGTCTGACCCAGAATAAGCTGACACCCATGTCTCACAAGTGCTCTGCAATGCAGCTCTCCCCCCTCCCAAAAACCCCAGCCAAGAGGACAGTGACTACCTCATGCCATGGCTATATATCTGGCCCCCAGGCAACTACCTCTGCCAGTGATGCACTTTTATCCCTTGCTGATGCTGTGGCTGCAATGCCATCATCATCAATGACTGAGGCACCAGCTGGAGGCACTTTGTTTATAACCTCTCTGGTGACATCCCCACAATGACACATGGCTGCAATTCACCTTGCTTCAGAGGAGGAAGGTCTGTCTGATAATGAGATGGCTGATGTTGCTGACTTGTTTGGCACAAGTCAGGCTGCTGTGGAGGGGTATCTCAGCTTGAGGAAGAGTGCCCAGTCAGTTTATTTACAGAAACAGCTTGAACATTTCTATTCCTCTGATTCTTGGGTACCTAGATCAACTGTACCTACTGTTCAGCTAGATACCTCTGATACTCTGTCCACATTGCATCTGCAATGTTGTCTCATAGTCTGTCAGCCCTAGTCTTTTCTGCAGGGGATATTTCTCCTCCAAGGTCATCAATGGTGTATCCCTGATTCTCTGAGCTCCCCACATCCTCCAACCCTTCTACATCATCACTGTCCCTGAGGTCGTCTCCATATCGCAAGTGCTACCAACATTCATTCATCGCCCCAGGTCCCCTTTATGAGGAGGGCTTTTTCAGCTGTCGTGCACTCCCCTCAAAGCGCAGACGGTGGAGCTGGAAAGGTATTCCTGGTTGTAATCCTCATGAGATTTGACTCAAGCTCTACCAGGTCGAAGAGGCTAGGAGAAAGACAGCCAGAACAGAACTAGAACAGTTTCAATTTCCAAGCGATGTTCTGTGGGAGGCCGTAATGGCTCAATATGCCGACTGCGAAGCAACCCGTTACCGTATAATCACTGCAACATGGGAGATCGAACGACTTGAGAGGTGGAAGTGCTTCTTCGACCGTTCTCTCAACTATCTCCAAGAGAAGAATACTACTTCAGTGTCTAGATTTGAATTTTTCAAGAAGTGCTGTCTAGATCTTGGTGGGGTTGAGGGTCGCCCAGAGGAGAGGGACATCTTGATGGAAGCATTGCAGAGAGACGCTGCAGCACTGGGCGCCATGCAGAAGGATTTCAAGGACACTGAGGAAGTTGCTATTTCTCTGGGTGTCCTCGACGAGTCGGAGGAGTCTCAGAGCTTCTACTTTGGGGTTGCAGATTCCGGTGATACAGAGGATTCTAACCCAAGTGACACTGAGATTCCGTTATATCCAAGCGACCCTGCCACGAGTGACCCAGAGGCCCCCCCCACAAGCGATCCACCAGCCCCGCCCACAAGTGACCCAGAGGTTCCGTACACGAGCGATCCCGAGGGGATTCTTTTTCCGACGGAAGTCTCTGAATGGTATATGGTCTTAACCTTGAGCCCTTACGAGCTAATGACGGTAATTACTTCACAGATAAGCCTTATGACTCGTAATGTGTAGTGACTGTATCACCGCATTGTACACCACATCGAAGGCTATGTAATATCTTTGCATGCTGTCCATGCGTCTTTATCACTCTGGCGATGTTCTAAATGAGGAAAGAAGTCTGCCAAATCGCGCAATCTCGCTGACCTGCCTAATTTGCATTCATTGTCCCTGTATTCACTGAGAGAAATCTACGTTTGAATTAACTAGGTTGCATTGTATAACGATGGGGGGGAATCGGGGACGAAAGGTGCGCCGGCCATACTCCTTGCCAATTCAGCATGACATATCTGACAATACTGACAGGAGATGAAGAAACCCGCAAAGGGCAGCGGTCTTAACCCGTGCTTACAGCCTGATGGGTCTCAGCTCGGCATTCCCAATGAAACCACTGAAGACCCCAGCGGAGCCTCTCAGCCCATTATGCTGGCACTTCATGAAGAGCCGCTTGATGAGACATATGCAACCTCATCGTCGACAGCTGCTCGCATGACATACAACTATACGCTTCCCTCATCGTTGGTGGCCGACGGCACATCATACGACTATCCACTTCCTTCATCATCGATGGCTCACCCGACGTCATACTCAACAGCCTTCGCCCATATGACAGCGCCATGGGCAGTTGAGACGCCAGCCCCGCCAAGCACAACTTTGATGCGCGATCGCCTCTCAGAAACCCCGATGTCACATCACCCGGCTGGTGACGCCCTCCCATTCTGTGGGGCACCGGACTTGGCTACGACAATACGGCCAATGTGTCTTCCGACGCCATCGATTTTGCAATACCCCCAGGAGTTGTCGTTCGAGGGCTCCCAGCGAATTTCCCAAATTGCACGACCCAGCCCTTACCCTATTATTTCAAGTGGCATCCGGCGTGTCTTTGCATATGGCCCACGACGTTTCTCTGAAACAGAGCGTGGTTCATTTGTCAACATCGGCGTCATCAAAGTAAGTCATTTATGAGTTAAGTATGATGGTATTGTAGCTAATCTCAAGCCAGGCAGGAGCCAATCACACGATCACGTCCCGGCGCCAAACTCGTCGCACGCTTCCGCCAACTTCTACACTACTACCGCCACCAACTCCCGAAGCTCCAACGAACGAAACCGACGAAACCCCAATTCAGAATATAACGCAACTCCCACCAGATCAACTAAGCAAGGTAATTCAGGAAGCAAAAAATGGCATGCGCCGCCGACTCGTTTGTACAAACATTTTCCCCACCCAAGTCGAAGCAAACTCGTTCGCAGAGGATGCAATCACTGACGCGCTTAGAACTCTAATAACAGGTATGCGTTATTCACATTCATTCCGCAACGCTTCGTGACTGCCATGCCAGATCCCCACTGGGTCCTTGACAGAGCCAAAGATGGCAAAGCGATCTCTCAGGTTCTCCAAATACCTAATAGCATCCGAACACTCTTCAAGAACGTTGCGTGTGCGCAGGTCCTAATCGGCTATGGTATCAATGTGTGCGACGATGACCTCTTGCTCGACCAAACGCAAATCCGAGAATCTGTCTGTGGTCGCATCCAACACCTACTTCGAGATTATAACTTCTTATACACGGAGGTATGTACTTTGTTTGCTGAACTACACTCCCTGCTAACAACCAACATAGGATCCTCCCCGACGATTTGGGCATCATGCCCTCACCCATCTATTGATATCCGCCACCTGGACAATGCCGGGAGCACTCTTCAAGTCGTTGGACGTCGACGATGCGGCTACTATCGATGGTCTCGTTGCACTAGCCGGTGCTGCCCTGAGCAGCGCATTGCACGAGTACCGTGAGGGGGTAGTTTGTGTCGTCGAATTCTCAAATCTCCTTGCCGGTGAACGTTACAGGGAAATTATTCAAATCATTCGTGGTATGTCGACTGATGAAGAACTCTGCACTCAGTACAAAAAATATTGTTGAAATGTAGTACTGCTAGGCCGTAGTTATCAAGGTAGCTACTAATCAAGGCTCCAGCCCAAATTGCGAGATCTGAAATCCGGTTGCCCAAAACGGGCACCTGCAACATGGTGAAGTTCTCCAGTCGCATCCGAACGAAATCCGAACGATGACAATGTGCCCAATAACGTTAAGTGACCCTACCAATATCTATGTAATACGGCGTTCTGAACTGCCAGTATGTTAGTGGCACCCCCATTCTATGACATGTAACTGTCAATCGAAGATCATATATCACCTGACTGGTTCAAACGTGGGTTTTGCCTATCTGAATGGGTGTCAGTGCGTATGTACTTGCTGGAATTCGAGTGGGTCCTCGAGAGATTCAGAGACTGACTGACGGAGGTGGTCTGCCTTCTTGATTTCGCTAACAAGCCTTTGCTTCAGCTCAAGAATGAGCCGCCTCACTGCCCATATATACACGAAGAATGAAGAAAAAGGGTCTTTGCGGGCTACTTTATGCCGCATACGATGGTTTTCGGTCTACCCCTTCCCTCTATCCGGTTATATTCCATGATCAATGGAGTATGTTACTCTTGGAGAAAAGAAAAGGTGTGGTCCTGAACTCTAGTAAGTGCTTTCGTTCCCCGCGGTTCTAATGGCAGGATGAATGATGCCTGCCGAGTAATGCCTAGATGTGGAGGAATGCTGTGGTATTTTGACCGAAGAAGAACACAACAGCTGAGCCTCGTTTACACGATATATCTAGTAAGGATGTATATAGCCATGACAGCATTTCTCGCATGCCGCGATTCTAATGACAGGAAGAATGATGCCTGCCAAATGTGGATCAACACTACTGCCTACTACAGTAGGTCAATGGGTTAAGTCCTGTGCCAACCTCAACGGCCATGACTACCACAAACGAGCACGACCACGACGACAGCAACGGCAATAACACCTCGAGAGGAACGTTTGGCAAGGTGGTCCAATGGTGTTATAGGACCCAAAAATATGAAGTGATCAACAGTTAGCCACACTCTAGTGCTGCAATCAGGTATGTTAACAGGTCCATGGCGCATCAACTATACGGTCCTTCCAGATCCAGCTAGGCAGCAGAGCGTAAACTCTTCCACGATTTCCAGGACAGATACCTGCAATGCCATCTAGTTCATGATTATTTATCTGATCATCAGTATCGGCGATGTGTCACTTTACCGGTCTAATCGTGATTTGCAGGGAATTTCGTTTCAACGTTCCGGGGTTGATCGGATCTTACGTTTTGCTTCCGTACTCCCCATTCCTTCTCTCGGTTACGTATCATTCCACACAGCGGGGGCGAAATTGTGTTTGCTCCATGGTCAACTGACACGGAGTTCTTGTGAGAAAAAGCGAAAGTTCCAATCGCATTGCTGCTTCAGCGTGGCCTGCCCTATACACTTCGGCTGGCTGGATCGGATAAAAGGGCTCAGGTTTTTCCTTCATTCCTCAGGCTTTTGTCTCTGCAATATCTGTTCCCCATCACAATAGTCATACTCGTGGGTTTCTTTCAACTCGTGGTACTACCACACTTTCATACTGACAGTAATCAGCATTGAACATGCCCCAAACCACCGTCTGCAGATGGCTTCCCAAGGACCGAGCAGTCGTTGACAGATTCGTGGACGAATACTACGGGCGTAGTTGTCTCGTCCATGGGCGTAGCCCTAAAACCGGCAAGCGTGTCGCGGAGGTGGGGGAGAAGCTGGAGTCAGCGATACGCAAATCCGGCGTTAGCGTTAACCCCCGCACCCTGCGGTGCCACTACCGCGTCCGGGACGGCGAGAAGGAATTTGTTTGCACTGTCCGCGAGTTGGACACTATAGTGCAGGAATTCAAAGATTACATTGAAAAGGAGCGCGTGGTCTACGATGCGTTCAATGCGATGTTCGAGCAGGCTCCCCCGCCTGCTGATGGAACGGGTAATGCAAAGGTATATAATTTTGGCTTTTGTGACCGTTACGCGGCTCATTTCAGTCTAGATCAACAACTATGAGGACCTAATGGAGATGTTCGACACGATCCTGACGACAGCACCTTCCCATGGCGGGGACAGTGCGAGCGACATGGCGGCGTCTGTTCCCTTTTACGCTGTCATTTCACGTTTCTGCAACACTCCTGCGGGCTATATCGCGTTCACCCACCCTGGAGTAAATAAGAAATTCTACAGGCTATTCATGAAATGGAACGAGTTCCTCGCGTCACCAGCGTCCAAGAGGGTCCTTCACAGTGGAGACGGCGGCTGGCTCAGTACGGCAGCGCTCAATGAGATTGTCGAGTACGCTGGTGGAGACCCTGCGCAGCAGACATTTGACAGCATTTACATTTGTGATACCAGCGATCCTCACTACGGTTACAAGTCCTATGACGATTTCTTCGTCAGGGAGTTGAAAGCCGCCCACCGCGCCGTTGTTTTTCCTGAGGACCCAGCGATCGTTAATTCAGCATGCTCGTCCACCATCAACCACATCCACTCCAACCTCAAGAGGATTGATAGATTCTGGCTCAAAAACACCCCTTACTCCCTCAACCATATGCTCGCAGAAGATGAACTTGTTGACCATTTCGTCGGCGGGACTCTTATCCAGGCTATGCTTGCATCTCTCGATTATCACCGTTGGCGCAGTCCCGTAAACGGTACCGTCGTAAAGACACGCCTCATTGCGGGCATGAATCATGGTAACCAACCGCCGCCTACCTACTTCGCGGCTCGCTGGGACGATGAGGAGGATCCAGACGTCGTTACTCGCTCGCAGGACTTCGTCACGGCCATATCTACCCGTGCTTTGATTTTTATCCAAGCTGAGGAGCCCGTTGGCTTGATGTGCTTCGTGGGTGTTGGCTTATGCGAGGTGTCGTCTTGCGATATTACCGTCAAGGAGGGTCAGGTACTCAAGAAGGGCGATCAGCTGGGCATGTTCCACTTCGGAGGATCTACCCACTGCCTCATCTTCGGCGGTGGCGTGACCGTGACGCCGATCATGCAGCCTGGCAAGGACGACGACGGCAACGACATCGAAATACCATTGAAGGAATCGAAGGTGCGAGTTGGCAAAGACATCCTCACCGTAGCAAAGAGGGTTTGAGATGATGCCTCAGATTGTATGTTAATGTAAAACCTACGAACGGTATCCATGTCTTGATCGCTCGTGTGTACGATAGCAAATTGAATCAGTGTCTTGGCGTGTTTGCATACGTGACGATGTAACATTGCAGGCCTCCAGCCTCATCTTCTCCTCTGACGTACCCGTGTTTACTCATCCCGCAGGGAGAGGGAGACAGCCACTGGTAGGATTGTTGCATAAGATTGGGTTTGCAACAACGGTTATACCAGGCTCACAACGGCAATGCCAGCCGGCCCCAGACAGCACTTCACTTGGTTCAGCCCAAGGTGCCGCTCACATCCACACTTGAATGATAAGTTCGGTCGACCCACCCCTTATTTTTCACCGGCGTCACTGATCTCGCAGAGCAAGGACGATACCATTGGTAGCACCGTATTTGCGAACTGATAGGCATATGGGTCAGGTGTTTCCCCTATGTAACCCAGGCCTAAGCCCCCAGGAGCGAAGCCAGGTTGAAGATAGCAGAGCAGAGATCCTGGTGGTCGGGAAAATAACTTGTCCCCCCACTCACTTACCATTCCAGTACCTGTACATACGAGTTCAGTGCCTACTACCCATTCAACCATACCCGCGATAGGAGGATTTCCATAGAGATCCTGAGAAGCCCACAACACTCCGCATGCATGGATGAAACACGTACCAAATCAGATGGGCGCACCGTCAGATTGAGCGTCAGCGGAACGCCCCTCAATTCCAGTAGGCAATACTTACGTAATGAGCTGCACAATGAGATCAACCACGGGACGGTCAGCCCTTCTTCAGTAGAGAACTCAGACTATGTCATATGCAAAGCAAGTCGGCCTTGGAGTTTTCGAATGCGAAGTCGTTTAACGAGGCCGTCACCGAGATCTGCGCAGCTGAACTGTTCGACGGACAAGTGCTCAAGGCACGTCCGGTGGCCCACGGTGGTCAAAGCAATATCTTTACGTCTTCACGCTCCACCAAGCAAAAAGCAACGAAATCAGACACCTCCATATCTGGATGGCGTACAGCAAGGAACGCCGTACAGCGGCTACAGCGTCTTCAATGTTTGCATAGCCAAGAGAGCTCTGAGCATCTGGAAGGCAGTGATGCTGAGCGTTTGAGAACTTTCCTCTAATTATATCTTCGGCCAGCAGGCGCTTCCATTTCTAGATGGCGTACACCAGGGGACGCCGCGTAGGCAGCTGCAGTATCCTTGACGTCCGCGAAATCAAAAGAGCTCCGAGCATATCGAAGGCGAAGATGCTGGGCATTCCTCTAAGATCCTCGAATACCCGCGACCGGTTGATGCTGAGCATCGGAGGCAAGTAGGTGAAATGATCGAGCCTTGGAATCACAATGGCACCCAAAAATGACATGGGACCTTCAAGGACGAATCATGAAAGACTGGAAAAGTGGCAAGTGGATACTGTCAGGAGGTAGAGTTCCACAATTCAGCCCAGACAATGTTAGCATTCTGAGCAACATTATCGATGCAGCTTCAGTGGTACCCCTAGAGAAGAACATTGTAGCCGAAGGGTTTTGAGGGCCACAGCAGATAACAAGGCCAAGGAGCCGATAGAACTCTGGTAAATCGCCAGTCGGATATTTCGATGTCGAGTGGACATTCACGACTTGTCTTCGCATGTGCTATCATGAGAGAGGTAGACCACAAAGGATGTGTCGCAATAGTGGACCAGAGACTTGGGGACATCAGAATCACATCTCTCCGACGAAGCGACACCCTAGCCAACCTCCTCTTGCTAGACCGATTGGCAAAGTCAACCGGACGGTTACAGTCATTAATAGATTATTTAATAAAGAGTTGAAACGGAAAACGGCTAATCGGGGATGTCACGGAGTGCTTGAGGAGTTCATCAATCGTGTTTTTTCTGAACCTGAACAGCAGAGAAGGCGTTGCGAAGGCGTTCGAGTAGTTGTCGTTCTTGCTCAATTTTAATAATGCCAGTTCGACTCGAGCGTAGGGTTGTTCACGGGTACAGGTAACACCGCGGTATTTTAGTCACGGGTATGGGTACAGTGTGGCACAACTCCAACTGCACCCGCACCCAAGGGGTACGCGTCGGGGAATGCCGAGACACTGCGGCCAGGGGGGGCCCGAGGGGGGCATTAACTGTCTAATATGGGAGTAATTCCGGAGACCCCTCCAGATGCTTAGATACTGTTGTTATTGCTATTTTTGAGTGACCGGAATCAAACGAAGGTCAGCGGGGCGCCGCGGGATGCCTGCTTTTTGCCAATGGAAGATAAGAAGTGCCCAGAGGTATGGCATTCGCTGTAGTCATGACAAACATTCGCAGATAACACACATCAGCAAATCACGAGTTTACTTATCCTTACTTGACAGCTACTGACTTAACACTTGCTTATCATACCAACTGCCAAGCTGCCTGCTTGGATAAGTAGATCCTTCTGCTGGCTACTTACTTAGCACTGCTTATTTTTTACTTAATGTGTGCTTAGCTTGTTAGTTTCTTACTTGAAATAACATTGGTTCTGTTCTGTCAAGCAGATAAGCAGCAACAGGGTGCAATTAATATCTGCTAAGCACATGCTAAGTAGCAGTGAAGTAGATTATGCAACAGTAAAAGTGAGGGATTGAAAAATGTAGATGGACTAGTGATAGCAATTGGGAAGACATATTAGGAATCCTGTTGTGGACTCAGTGGATCATATAACCAGTAGGGAATGAAAACCTACAGATAAGTGCATACTTGTCATCAGATCCTGCATCACTCAACAGCTTGGGGTCAAGTTCTTTCCCTATTGCAAGTGAAGCAAGGGTGAGCTCTATGATGGCTTGAAGCTGAGCAATAGATCTTCTTTTGGTGGCCCCCATAAACTTCCTCATTGAAGCTCCCCAATTCTGGTCTGAAAATGTGCACACAGTCTTGCTATCCTTCCCTGAAGCCATGTTGTATTTGATGGGGGTTGGCACAAACCTCATTGCCACATTGGCAATACCATCTTTGATGTTGACATGGGACTTGAGCTCAACATCACCAGATCTAATGAGGTTCAAGCCATGGGAGAGCTAAAAAACTAATCAATACTGTAGCTATGACAATGCCTTGATAAATGTTACTGCAGCAGCACAAAGTCCAAGAGCACCAACAACACCATGCTTCACCAAAGATGAAGTGTCAAGAGTGGGGACTTGAATGTATCCTTTGGTTGCAGTCAAATGGCTGCTCAGCAGCAGCTGTTGCACAAAAATGGAGTGGAAGGCTTTCTCAGGAACAGTCATGTTGAGGTCTTCATATAAGAATGTGAAATGATCAAGTAATAGTTTTGCAGTGTTGGCAGTGTGAGTCAAAGTGTGGTTCAGTGGTGAAAACCAACCAAAACCAACACAAAAGACAAAAGAGTGAGTGGTGGTGTGCCTATGCAGTACCTAGATGGTAGAACCTTTGATTTGGGTGGGTTTTTGTGAGCTACAACACTCAAAGACAAGTGCTGAGGGTTGGGGGTGCTCCTGATGAAGAGGGAGCAAGAATGTGATAGAAAGTGATAGGGTAGACTGCTGTCAGCCTGCAGAAGGATGGATGGTGACTTAATTCAATGTGCAAACACTTGGTAAGCAACTGGTCACTGATGAGTAAGGAATGTAAGCAAGGGTAATCATCTTGGAAAGCATTGGTAAGCATTAGTAAGGATTAGCAAGCCAAAAGGCAAAGGATCAGTAAGCAAAGTCAAAAGATTGGTAAGTATTGGCAATAGGTGAGTCAAAGACAGTCAAAACATCAAAGTACAAGTCAAGTGATGTCAGGAACTGGGAAAGTGCACTGGAATCACATTAGGTGGAGGCTGTGCATGTCACATCTCAAAGAGATCACTTCTAGGCCAAGGTGGGATGACAGAGAGGCAGTGCTGATCTGATGCTGATATAGTACATCCAAAAGTGGACAGGGTGAGTCAGATGTCAACAGGGGTCAAGCTTTGGGGGTCTGTGAGGTGACAGGAGCATAGGGGATTGCAACTTTCCCCCCCAAACCATCCTCTCAGTGAAGCAAATAAAAACTTCATGAATGAGGCTCTGTTGGAAGAGAGGATGAAGGGGGTGTGTCTTCTGCTGTATCTTGCAACAAGGAGGCAAGATGTGCATCATACTCATCATGGATGCAATCAGGGAGAGTGGAGAACAGTAGATCATACTGTAGCTGTCACAATCTTGGAAGAATGATGGACAAGACTGGTACAAAGACATTGTGGGGAGCAGGGAGGAAGGATCCATATGCTTCTTGGACCAGAGAGACTGAAATGACCACATAAGACCTTTCCAAGTGAATGACAGACCTGAGGCAACCAAAGAACGTCCTCCTAGAGGTCATACTGACAAAAAGAACACACTGTCCAAGCTGGATGGGCTGAGAGGGTGCAGACAAGGGTGGGATTTACCAGGATGCTTCAGGATGGAAGCTGGTAGGAACTCCTGGTAGATATATGTGGCCATGGTCCCTAGCAAAGGGGACAAGCAAAATGATTGACATGGAGGTGGCCATATCAGAAGAATTAGTGAAATGAGCATCTTTTGGAGGGGGTGCTGTAGAAACATGTGGAGTCCACAAATCCTTTTCAATTTCGGAAGGCAGGATTGCATGGCTGAGCACTACAAGCAAGTGTGGGAATGGTCTCAGTATCTGCAGAAACAGCAGAGATATGTTGAAAACCAGAATGCTGTACACAGGTGCTTAAGAATTTTAACCAGCACTTAACTCACTCCCTTTCTTTTTCTTTGGCACTGATGACTCATCCTTGTGTGAGGGATGACTGCCAACATTTCTGGCTGTCCTTCTTTGCATGAGGGCTATGGTCTTCATCTCCATTCATCAGCTGTATCCATGTCCACCTCACCAAACACCTTTGGTGTGTGACAGTGGGTGATGGGTCTTGAGGATTGAGGAAGAAAGCTATGAGTTGTGCAATGGCTGTGGAGGCAAAGCTGTGCCTCCAATCACACAAGCATTGAGATGCCTATGGTGAACATGGTCAGCTACAGATGAAGTCAGAATGAAATGGACTTGGGATGGAAACCATGGGTGAGCTGGGAAGAATGCTACTTGCTATGTTCTTGAGTATGGGGTATATGACTGGCATAATCTCCTGTAGAGCCCTGCAAATGTCTTGCTTGGTGATGTTGAATGCATCCTCTTGGTTTCTGGCCCATAGGATTAGCATTGGGATAACTTCCCTCTTCCACTTCTGATCTTTATGCAGATCTGAGGGGAGATCCAAATTGTTGAAATGCACTTGTGCAGGGACAGTCTGCACTTGACTCAATGAATTGCTCACTCTGATAGATCTCTTGCTAGTAGATGTGGCCAATAAGCTGGACATAGAGTCACAAGCTTGTATCTTGATCTTCTTTGGCATGCCCTTTGTAACTATGACACATGACTGAAAGAAAATAAAAGATGAAGGAACATGGGGAAAGGTGGTTAGCACATACCTTGGCCACAGCATTCTTGCACCCCAAAACACAGATGGCATTGTCTAGATTGCTGCAGTTATCATCAATGCCATCACCCTCAACCTCAGAGGTTGAGACATATTCCAACTCAGCTACTTTCCTCTTGACATTGGTGAGTCTGGTGGCAGTATCATTGGCCTCACAATCCTTGGCCATTGTGGCAGTGCACTGAGACTACCATCACATGAGTAAAAACCATTTCAATGTGAAGGATACTCAATGAGAACATTTTGAAGAGTGGGGATGTCCAAAACCAGAGGTCTCACCAGCCTGCTAGCTTTGCCATCTTTGCAGTCAGGTGGCAAGTTGAAGTTTTCTAGTAGTTGGGATTTGAACTTGTAGTTGTATTGGGGGTCATTTGGCAGTGGAGAGCTAAGATTGAATACATGGGACTCAACATTGATAGTACTTGTAGTGAGGGTACTTGTGGATGGAGGTGGTGCAGCTGATGTGTGAGGACTGGCACTGGCACTTGAAGATCATGTAGAACTTGTGTCAACAATGTTCACCCAATTTTTGACATGCTTAGATAAAGTTAGTTTATTGTCAGAGCTAGCAGTCATTAGGACATTTGCAAAGAAAAGTGTTGCCTCAGTTAGAAGGAACATGTTAAGAAGCAAGATGCACATCAAACCAGTACTAGCACCAATGCTATTGTCACATGTTGATACACTCCTTGGTCCAGTCTCCTGGCTGTGAGGGCCACTCCCCAGGCTGACATCTCTTTGAGGCAGGCTACCTCCTCCATTGCATTGTAAACCCCCTGAGTTACTGGGGCTTTCTTGTTCTTCTTTCTTTCCATTATCCCCCTGAGGTATGTGACATCCTCATTTTGCTGCTTGAGTTGAAGAAGTGAGGAGGCCATTGACCACATCAGTGGTTGGGAGTTGGTTGAGAAAGGAGTGGAAGGAATCAATTAGGGACAGCCTGAAATCCCCATGCATGATATGTATGATGGACTCCTCAGTCTGCAATGCCTGCTGGAGGATGGTGGCATTGGAGGTATCAAGGGCACTAGCAGTCTGGGCCTCAAAGGTTCCCTCTGTAGTGGCAACCTGGTCGTATATGCACTTGCTGATCATTTCTGAGCTTCCAAAGATCTTGGACAGCACCTGAAGATGCTTGTGCTGTTCTCCTGCTCTCCAGCTGCATGATTCCCACTGCTCAAAGTCATTAAGTACCTGAACATAACTGAGGAAGAGGCTTGCCTCAGGTACCAGGCAGGGCTTGGTTCCTGGTTGAGGGACAGGGGTACTGGCTGACAGTATGGCTGGTTCAACAGTCCTTGGTGCTGAAGAGGATGGACCAGTGCTAGGGCCAGGGGTTGGTGATCTGTAACTGGCTTGGGAGAGTGGGGGGGTATTGCAAGACTGGTAAGTGGCATCATAGTGAGGTTCAGTGGCAGGTGGAGCCTTGGATTTTCCCTTTCAGGCATCCTTAGAGGCTCACTGGGTACTGCTGACTGAACAAACAACTGAGTATGGGTATGGGCACATGATAGAGGTGACAGAGTCATGAAGGGGTTGGTAGGGAGTCCCTTGTGTGGGGTTGGTGGGTAGTGCAGGGGATGTGGAATGTACTGCTTGGGGGGAGTGCACAGGTGGGCTTGAGAGGTGTAGAGGGGTGTTGGGGCATTCAAAGGAGGCCAAGAGGCATGAAGGATTGTAGGGTTCATTGAAGTCAGTGAAGAAGTTGTTATTGAAGTAGTCTGAGCTGGGGTTTTCATAGTTGGGAGTATATGACATCTCAGAGGTTGTGGATGCACTTGTACTTGGAGAGAACCTCTGGGGCATTTATAAGGTTGTCTTCTGATTCCCAACTATTTTGGTTATGTGGGAAACTGAGCCATTTTACCAGGTAGAGGTATTTTGGCTGCAGGTTTTCACCACTGTGGCTCTTGACATGTCAGGCATGTTTGTGTTTCAGAATAGTCTTGACCTCCCATTCATTCTTGTCTCCTACCAGTTCAGGAGGCAGCAGGGGTTTGGCCAGACCATACTCACTTGTTTCAACAAAGGAGGTGAGTTTGCTTGCATGGAAAATGGGGTGGACACACCAGTTAGGGGGTAGTACCAACTTGTATGCCACTGGGGAGATCCATTCAGAAATTAAAAATGGACCATGATGTTGAGGGGCAAGCTTCTTTGATGGGACATCCCTTTTTAGGTCAGAAGCATCAAACCACACCTTATCTCCTATGGCAAACTCTGTATTGATTGGGCTTTCATTAATTCCTGCACATTTTTATGTGCAATTATTGCCACATCCAAATTGGCTGCCAGCTGTTTGAGGCAATCTCCTGTGAGTGACTCAGCAGGTGCTTGACTGGTGGGGTATGGCACAGGGTCAAACCTGTACATGAGGGAATATGGTGTCTGTGGGATGAGTGCACACATGAGTTGTGTGCCATTTGAGCATCAGGGAGTTTGACATGCCAGCTGTGGGGACTTTGGTCAGAGTACGTTCGAAGATAAGTACTGATTTCCTGGTTGACATGTTTGGCCTCCCCATTTGTCTGTGGGTGGTAAGTGGTGGATGCCTTCATTTCAATGCCAAGGGCCTTGTAAAGGTCCCTTGGGAAGGCAGAGACAAACTGTGGACTGCAGTCTGAGATAACAGCCTTGGGTACCCCCCAATGTGGGTAGATGTAGATGTGGTAGAGGTCAGTGATCCCAACACTGTCAACAGTCTTGGTGGTCAGCAGGAAGAATGCACCTTTTGTCAACACTGGTCAATGATCATAAGGATAGAGTCATACTTGTCTCCCAACAGGGGTAGATCAGTTATGAGATCCATGGAGATCTGTTTGAATGGAAAGGGGTTTTTGGCAACATTGTGTGGGGTAACTGGCAGTGTTGTCAGGTGCATGTTGACCTTGTTAGCCTGGCAGACAGGACATCTGGCATGGTACTTCCTGATGGACTGGTACATTCTGGGCCACCACACATACTTGTTCATCTTCTTCATCATTGCTTTCACCCTGGGATGCCTGAACATGGGCAGATTGTGATACTGCTGAAGAACATCTTGGTGAATGGGTTCTGGGATGAATATTCTTCTTCCTTTTCTCCTTATGCCATCAGATCCTTCTGTCATTTTGGGTACAGTCAGGGATGCCAAAGACTTCCTAGCCTTCTCATAGAGATTGGCATTTAGCTGGAAGACATGTCCTTTTCCTTTTGGAACCATTGGCTTTTCCTCAGGTAGGCATTTGGTAGGTAGATCAAGCTTGAAAATGGAAGTGACAGGAGGTCTCACCCCCCCCCTTCAAGCCAAATTGCCTTCAGGAGTAGGGTGGAGATGGTAGTGGGCTCCACATTGAAGTCAGAGTGGCAGGGCAGGGTGTCAGCTGCAATATTTTTAGTCCCTGCAACATGGATGAACTGGAGTGGGTACTCCTGCAAGGTGGCCTGCCAGTGGGCCTGGTGGGCCATAAGCTTCTGTGGTTGCACATAGTATGTAATATTCTGATGGTCTGTGTAGACCTTGGTCAGTTCTGGGGGAGAGTGTAGATAGGGGCACCATTGCTTGAGGGCATGCATGACAGCTAACATTTCCAAGTCATAGACTTGGTAGTTCTGTTCCACTCTGGTAAGCAACTGGGACATGTGCACACAGGGGTGTAAGGTTCTGGAGTCATTGGCTTGTGACAGAACTGCTCTGGTGCCCAGTTTAGAGCTGTCAGTATGCAGGACAAAAGGTTTTTGGAGATTGGGGAGGTGGAGGACCAGTTTTGAGGAGAGGGCCCTCTTGAGGGCCTCAAAGGCAGTCAACTGCTCAGCTCCCCATGTCCATTTGGCATTTTTCTTCAAGAGGTTGTGCAACAGGTGCATTGTCTGCGAGAAACCAGAAATGAACTGCCAATAGAGGTTGCAGAACCTGAGGAAGGAACAGAGTTCCTTTAGGGTTGTCAGAGTGGGCCAGGTTCTGATGGCTTCAATCTTGATCTCCAAAGGCTCATACTGACCCTGACAGATCATGAACCCAAGAAACTCTATTTCTTTGGCCTCAAAGGTGCACTTTTTGAGTTTAAGGCAAAGGTGTTCCTTTGTAGCAACACACAGGAACTTGTGGACATTTGCATGTAGTCCCTCCTTCACTTTTGAGTGTAACATTATGTCATCCATGAAGATGACTGCTTTCTGCTTTCTCTTGAGGTCCCCCAAAGTGCTATCCATATACCACTGGAAGGTAGGTGGGGAGTTGCACTGTCCAAAAAACACTATGGTGGACTTGAAGAGTCCACAGGGGGTGATGAACACTCTCTTCCACTTGTCCCCCTCCTTCACTTGGATGTTGGTGAACCCCCAATGGACATTGAACTTGACAAAGTAGCAGGAGCCAGTGAGCTTGTCAAGGAGGGTTTTTATGTCAGGGAGAGGGTAGGAGTTGGTGATGGTCTGAGAATTTAGGTAGCAGTAGTCTGGGATTAACTGTCACTTCCTGTCTTTCTTTCCTACAAAAAAGACAGGGGCTGCTTGTGAGGACTTTAAGGGGCAAATCTTCCTGCACTTAAGGTTCTTGTTGAGTGACAACAGGTAGATTGCTCCTTTCTTCAGCTGGAAGCCAGGCTTCAGGTGAATTTCATGATTGAGGAAACCTTGGTGAGGTGGAAGAGGGATTTCTTCTTCAGAGAAGACTACTGAGAACTCCTGATACTCTGGGGGCAACTCTACATCTGCCTGAATGTGTGAGGCCTCAAGTTTTGTCAAGATCAAGGTCCTGTTGACTTTTATGGTCCTAGTGAAATTAGTACCATGGATGTGGTTCTTCTTATCCAGCCCATGATTGAGTTCCCCCCAGCCAATCAGCTTTTGGGTTGTCCAGCTGATGATAGGGTTGTGTTCTTGGAGCCAGGGCATTCTGAGAAGGAGGGACTCCCAATTCCTGAGCTTGAGGATGTAGGTGTGGATGTGCATAGTTCTTCCCCAAAATCTTGGCTTGGAAGGATGCAATGTGCATCACCCAGTCTGTGGTTTTTCCTTTGTAGCCCCTGGATTCCCAGGGGTGGGCAATCTTTCATGTTGGGAGGTTGTATTTTTCGATGAACCAGAGTTTGTTGTAAAAGTGACTGACATGGGTGAGTGGTGACATGGCTGGGGGTGGCTTGGCTACTGAATTCCAGATGACTCTGGGCGAATGTGGAATTTCTGGATCAGCTTATTGATGGCTGGGCAACAGGGGTTGGGAGGCAACGTGAGGTTACAAGTGGGAAGAACCCCAAAAGCATCTGAAAGCCAGCAGAAGTTAGTGACCAACTCCTGTTCCAGCCTCAGGGAGTATATGGCTCCCTACACCTCCTGGGGACTTCAAATGCTGACTGTCCTTGGTCAGACCAAACTGAGATGTGACAGAGATGAGCACAGAATATCAGCAGGCTTTATGTAACAATGATGGCACATGGCTGGAATTCTGCCTCATGCAGAGGGAAATTCCACATTGTATGAGATGGCCCTGTGGAATTCAAATGCACTCAGAAGGTGGCTCACCACTTGTCAAACTTTCACTCCCCAGCCACACCTGTATCCACTACCCAAGCCCATACCCAATTTTTGATATGCAAGCCTACTCAATCCATGATGTGTGACCAGTATGCAGCATGAGGGACCAGGCAACCACCTTGCTGTCAGCAGCTCTAAGACACATTATGGTGCAAATTGATGCAGTGCCATGGCCTGAAGAGAGCTTAGAGGTAATATATGAGTGGGTGGAGGACTGGGACCAGACTTGGGTGAGTGCACTAGAGACCCATGCAACATGATGTGCTGACTGATCCCCAGGCTGGCATCTACTTGTGGTGGAAGTATGTTGATGAGAACAAGATCTCCATCCTGAAGGTGCATGACACCAACCTACACAACATGACCAAAGAATCTGTGATACAGCAGAACAAGGTGATCCCAACAGCTATAGCAATAGCAGATCTTCAGTGGCCAGAAGGGCAGTGTAGATTCAACATCAATGACCTTTTTGGGGACTACCAGGAGTGGGTAGAGGAGAGAGCATGGTTGGAGGCTGAGAGGTTGGCCAAGGCACCATCCATGGGCACCCAGGGCCAAGCAGAAAGAGGTGAGGGTCAAGACTGTGCACCAGATGACACTGAAGGATGCCTGTCAAGAGGAGCTGCATGTTTGATTGGGGGGGGCTCTGGTAGTGTGAGCAAGGGAAAAGGGAAACAGAAGGTGCATTCTATGTCCTTGACAACCCCAAGTGTGACTGCTGACTTCAATGAAAATTCCACAGGCCACCAGTGAGGAGGACAAGCTGGCTGATGATGTTGACAATGATGAGGGTGATGGTGAAGGCAAAGGTGAGGCAGGTTCTTCCACAAAGGGACCTTGCACAGCTGGGACAACAAGCCCTGCAAGATGTGTGCCCAGGCAAACCTTGTGTGCATCAGGGAGCCAGAGTTGTCCTGCAAATGGCGCAGGAAGGAAAAGCGCAAGTGCTCATGCTCTCATGGAGTAGGGAGAAAGGTGAGTATTGCACAGGTGAAATTCCACAAGGGAATGAGTTGACACCACCTTCAGTGAAAGAACTCTGGTACTGTTTTGGAGGCAGGGCTGTCCCACAAACAAGTCAAATCGATTACAACCTCAAAGGCAGCCCCAGCAGAACCTGTGACTGGACCTGCCCAGAAACTCACTCTGAACATTCCACCTCAAAAATGACAACCTGATCTGACCCCCACATGTTTGCCTACCCCAGAACCATGTTCCTCCCCTTGCAATCCTTCACCAACCCCTCATCTCTTTTTCTGTGGGGCTACTCCAACACCTGGACCTTTGTTCTCACCAGCCCCTGTCAATGAACCCCCCCTGACACTCCCTTTCAATGAACTGCAAATCAGGTTTGAGCCATTTTCTGCAACTGCGACTGGCTTGCTAAATGAACCAGGAGGTGTTGAAGAGGCAGTCCAGAGTGCCACTCCATTGGTCACCAAAATTCTGGAGGTCGAAAACCCACATGAGTGGTTAACAGCAAGCTTTGTCAAACATCTGCAAGTGCTCGAGGTGAGAGCTGAGGGTGAGGAATTCGAGCTGGAGCAGGTCTACCAGCTGCTGGAGATGTTGGCAAGGCAGGTAACACATCAGATTGAGACTGCATGGGCTAGATGGGAGGAGTTGTGAAGGTTGAAGGACAAACTGCAGGACCTGTAAATAGTGTACTAGTGTCTGGGGATTTTTTTGTTTTTTTTTTGTCTTTTTTTCATACTTGTATTTTCCGAAATTGTAAGAGTCTTTCATGTGTCAGTATTAGTACTACAGTAAGGGAAGGAAAAGTAAGACTTCTGAAGGTAGAAGTGTTGTGGAATTTTTTTTTTTTTTTGCATTTCTTGTGAGCAGTGCAGATTTTATACATGAGATAAAACAGGTATCGATAAAAGAAAGAATGGAGAAAGGAAAGAATGGAGGAAAAAAGAAAGATGGGCTACTCATCTGACTCATCCAAATGGATGCCAGTGAGCATAGGGTCTGGGAACAAATCATCTTCAAGGCAATCCAGGTCTTGCATGGAAGCACCAGTCAGCTGGGTGACTTCAATATGAGTGTTATTCCTCAGGAAATAGGGGAATAGGCAAAAGGCAGCAAAGCAGAATTTCAAGACAGCACCATCTAATTCTGCAAGTATGTGCAAGCTGCCTTTTGTGTGTCTGACAATGATCATAGGCCCTAGGTAGCACAGTTTGGTTTTCCAGTCAAGTTCTAGTTCAATGCAGGAATTCTGAATGAGGATGAGCAACCCTGGTTCAAAGTTAAAGTCTTTGATAGAACATGCAAAACAGAGCAAAATCCTTGGCTGAGGCAAAGTGTGATTGTAGGACCAGATCATGGATGTGAGCAAGGTCCTCTGGGCATTTCTGGAGTTGGTGAGCACAGTGAGCAATGAGATCTGTGGTCAAGTAGAATTCCACTTCAAAAGGGGTGAAAAATGTTGCTTTGACCAGATCAAAAGGGAGTCTGGGTTTGACACCATGAGCCATATAGAATGGAGAAAACCCAGTTGCCTTGTGGACCATAACCTGTTCTGCCCAAGATACTGCAGGGGCAACCTCTGACCATGTCAATGCTTCCCCACCACAACTTTTTACCATTGCCTCTCTTACATGAAAATGCCACTGTTCAACAACTCCATTAGCCTGCAAGTTATAAGGGGAGATGCATATGTGACAAATTCCAAAGGTCTTGGAGAGCCAGTTGAGAGCAAGGACATATGGTCCCCTGTTATCTGTGACAATCTCTGCAATGCCACCTGAATGGCACAAAATCTGTTTGAAAATGAACTTTCCAATGGACTTGGCTGTCTCTGCACAAAGCATAACCCACCTGGGGTAACTGGTGAGTGAACAATAGGCCTGGGTGATGTAGTGAAAGCTGTTTGACTTTGGCATTAGGAACATTGTCACACACCAAAGGTGTTTGATGAGGTGGACATGGATACAGCTGATGAATGGAGATGAAGACCATAGCCCTCATGCAAAGAAGGACAGCCAGAAATGTCAGCAGTCATCCCTCACACAAGAACAAGTCATCAGTGCCAGAGAAAAAGAAAGGGAGTGAGTTAAGTGCTGGCTAAAATTCTTAAGCACCCATGTATGGCATTCCAGTTTTTGACATATCTCCACCATTTCTGCAGATACAGAGACCATTCCCACACTTGCTTGTAGTGCTCAGCCACGCGATCTTACCTTCCAAGATTGGAAAGGATTTGCACACTCCACACATTTCTACAGCACTCCCTCCAAAAGATGCTCATTTCGCTTGTCCCCTTTGCTAGGGACCATGGCTACATATATCTACCAGGAGTTCCTACCAGCTTCTGTCCTGAAGCATCCTGGTACATCCCACCCTTGTCTGTGCCCTTTCAGCCCATCCAGCTTGGACAGCATGTTCTTTTTGTCAGTATGACCTCTAGGAGGATGTTCTTTGGTTGCCTCAGGTCTGTCATTCGCTTGGAAAGGTCTTATGTGGTCATTTCAGTCTCTCCAGTCCAAGAAGCATATGGATCCTTCCTCCCTGCTCCCTGCAATGTCTTCATACTGGTCTCATCCATCATTCTTCCAAGATTGTGACAGCTACAGTATAATCTACTGTTCTCCACTCTCCCTGATTGCATCCATGATGAGTATGATGCACATCTTGCCTCCTTGTTGCAAGATACAGCAGAAGACACACCCCCTTCATCCTCTCTTCCAACAGAGCCTCATTCATGAAGTTTTTATTTGCTTCACTGAGAGGATGGTTTGGGGGGGAAAGTTGCAATCCCCTATGCTCCTGTCACCTCACAGACCCCCAAAGCTTGACCCCTGTTGACATCTGACTCACCCTGTCCACTTTTGGATGTACTATATCAGCATCAGATCAGCACTGCCTCTCTGTCATCCCACCTTGGCCTAGAAGTGATCTCTTTGAGATGTGACATGCACAGCCTCCACCTAATGTGATTCCAGTGCACTTTCCCAGTTCCTGACATCACTTGACTTGTACTTTGATGTTTTGACTGTCTTTGACTCACCTATTGCCAATACTTACCAATCTTTTGACTTTGCTTACTGATCCTTTGCCTTTTGGCTTGCTAATCCTTACTAATGCTTACCAATGCTTTCCAAGATGATTACCCTTGCTTACATTCCTTACTCATCAGTGACCAGTTGCTTACCAAGTGTTTGCACATTGAATTAAGTCACCATCCATCCTTCTGCAGGCTGACAGCAGTCTACCCTATCACTTTCTATCACATTCTTGCTCCCTCTTCATCAGGAGCACCCCCAACCCTCAGCACTTGTCTTTGAGTGTTGTAGCTCACAAAAACCCACCCAAATCAAAGGTTCTACCATCTAGGTACTGCATAGGCACACCACCACTCACTCTTTTGTCTTTTGTGTTGGTTTTGGTTGGTTTTCACCACTGAACTGTGCTTTGACTCATGATATGTCTGTATACGCCCTGTAGAATAGGGGTTTGGGAATGGCAACAACTGGCAGAATATGAATGCAATCCAAATGGTGGATCTGGCACTTGTGGCATGATTTAACATACCAATGGATGTCCTGCTCTAGCATGGGCCACCAAAAGTGAGTCAGCAAATGCATGCAAGTTGAGAAGATACCCTTGTGCCCTAGGTCATCATGGGCCTGGCAGAGAATTCCAAGGTGTTTGTGTGAGGGTACCACTAGCTGATGCTGTCCCTGGGGATCCTTCCTCCACAGTTACCCTCCTTTCATGAAATACTGAGTTGCAAGACACACTAGGCTTTCCAATTCCACCTCTTCCAACCCTTCTGGTGATTTCTTTGTCTCCAAAAACTCCTTCACCACTCTCATCCTCTCCTCTCTCTGCTTCACTTTCTCTGACCTTGGAATTTCAGTCTTGAGGATTCTGGGCATCAATTCTTCAGTGGTAAAGATACCTAGACTCTGTGACAGGGGGAGAGATGAGTCTGACATGATGCTCAGAATTCCCAAGGGGTAAGGTTGAGACTTGAAATGTGCTTCCCTACAATTCAAGAGCTCAACAGTGAAGGCCCCACACTCATCTACCCAATCCTCATAGTCCTCATCTCCCTCCTCATCTTCTTCTGCTCTTGGCCTCCTTGAAAGTCCATCTAGTGCTGTGTGCTTGTGTTCTGGAACATGTACAAGCTTGAAGTTGAATAAAAGAATTCTGGCAATCCAATGATTTATGGTCATGTTAGGCTGTAGGTTGGGATTGTTAATCATCCCTTTGATGTACTGTGCATCCACCTCAACAACTAAATTCTGCATGCCAAAAATATGAAGCTGGACATTGTGCAGGGCATGGAATAGTCCAAACAACTTGAGCTTAGCTTGGCTGTAGTGGCATTCACAATCATTGCAGATTATTGAGCTGAACCTAGCAGGGTAGTGTTTTCCATCTTCCCCCTCCTGCATGAGGAGGTACCCAACAGCAATGTTAGAAGTGTTGACTGCTAAGCTGACTTTCCTTTCTGAACTATAGTTGATAGTTCACAATGCAGGGGACAAGACAATTGCCTGGTGGAGATACTCCATCACTTCTCTATGTTCATTGTGGAATTCAAAGGGGACATCCTTCTTGGTCAGCTCTACAAGAGGATGGGCATGTTTAGTGAAGTCTTTGATGAAGATCCTGCAGTATGAGCAGAGACCTAGAAATCTGCAAACTTCAGTAACATTTGTGCAGTAAGGCCAATCTTTAATCTTTTGGACTTTGGTTTTGTCCAGAATTCTACCCTTGAACAACACCTTATGCCCAACCACTATGATGGATGGTGCAGCAATGATGCATTTCTTGGCTGACATGGTGGCTCCTGCATGACACAGATGGTGTGAGACTCAGTTGATGTTCTGCAGGTGCTCACAGATGAAGCATCTAATCCTGGAATTCTGTGGAATCATTTCATAGGTCCTGTCTGGATTTTGGTAGTGGGATTTGGGGCCTTTGATAGGACAGTCATTGATAAACAGAATGGTAACTTCCAGAATTTTGTCCTTCAAAATGCAACAGATGTCTCCATGGAAAATCTGGATGGCATTCATGTAGCCCATAGGGAGTTTGGTGAGTCAAAGGGTACTGATAGGAGTTTGGAAGGTAGTGAGGTTGTGGTAATCATTGTGTATGGTGTGATAATCATATCTGACCATAAGATCTAAAATTCCATAGACCAAATGGCAAGTGAAGGCTTCAGCAATTGAATTGATGAAGGGGGGAATGGCTGAGTCCTGGATAGAAACAGCATTTAGAGGTTGTAAGTCATGGATGAGGCACAGAGATTTTCTGTCCTTCTTGACTATGCAGAACCATTTTGAGTGATAGGACAAGGTAGACAGTTCATAAACCCCTGTGGAAATCTTTTCTTTGATGATGTTAACAACTTCATGGACAATAGCAGGGGGAATGGGAATATTTCACTTGACCCAGGGCTTGTGGGCTAGTGTAGGTATCTTCAGGGGTGGGAACATGTCCTCTTGAAAGGTCCCTCTTTCTGAAGTGTCCCAAGCAAAGGCATCCTCTTGCTCCCTGACCAACCATCATACTAGGTCTAACTCCATAGGCCAAAGGAACATTGCCAGGCCCAGATTGAGCTCATCAGCTCTTTCCTGAGTAAACCTGGAACCTGGCATGAATGG